AGGTTGGAAGTAGATCTGAAGCTTTGAACTGAAATTGAGGAGCTAATCGAATCTTTCCATTCTGTGGAGTAGTGGTTTTTTTTATAATATCGCTTCAGATGGGGGAATTAGAATTCTTGGCGTGGAGCTAGCTAGCATTTGTCTGGATGTGTTTGCTTCTACTATGTGGTTTCCTCTTTGTTACTGTATTGATGAAACTTTGTCGAGCGATGAGTCCGGTGGTATGAGATACGAGGAAGAGGAAGAAGAAAGGCGGAGTGGTAGAGAAAGAGGCAGGGGAGCACCGATGGAAAAGACGGGTTTATTTTTATTTTATTTTGTTTCCCCCAATTTTAGTCATAATACAAATATTTGGAATATGTGAAAATTGTGAATATTTTAAATATTTTAATCTGACTTAGCAGTGACATGGCGCGTTGACCGTTAGTCAACGCGTTTGACCGTTCAAGTTAACGGTCAAACATCGGGTTTGGCCAAATTGTTTATTTTGGTGTATAGTTCGGGCCAGAATGTTATAGATTGAAAAGATTGGTCAGGATGTTTATTTTGGTCAAAGTTCAGACCATACGAAAATATTAACCCTAAAATAAAAGAGTTACGATTTATCTGGTTATTTATCAATAAATGATGGCTTATCAATCACATCATATTGGAAAAGACACTACGCATTGTTTGTAAATTTTGATGAGCGAGGAATGGAAAATAGGGACATGGAAAAAGAGTTGTTTGGTATTTCCAAATTTTACTAATTAATTCTTTGGATGGATTAAGCGTGAATGTAATAATTGTAAAGTCAAATAATTTATTAATTATTTATATGATATTTTAATATGATTTATGTGGTAATTGGGCTAAAGAATGTTGTCTGGTCAAACCATTTCCATGTGGTATGTGGTATTTAGATAGTTATTTCAAATAACAAACTGATTAAATGAGAGTTTTCAATTAATATTAAGTAAGAGTTATTTCAAATAAGTTATTTGTAAATAGTTCAATGCCCAAATAACTCAACTTAGTAAAGTGTTGTCAAACGGATTTTTTAGATCTCATTATCTCACTGTGAGTAACTATAGCCCAAATATGTCACTTAAATAATCCATTCAAATGACCCCTATGTGATTCACCAAATTATGAATTTGTTAATACATGAGTTTTTCTTGTCTAAATATGAAAATAAGTTAAAATGTGAAACAAAAATCATACAACAAAAGAATATGAAACATTATGAACATCATGTTCAAAATTCATAACCCATCTAAAATCTTAGCTACCAAACTACTCCCAAATGGATTTGGAGGTATAATGTCCACATTCGAAGGATAAAGTGCGTGAGGATTGGCATTGGTCCAAATTCTCAATCTTTTCCTTTTCATTTGAAGAAAAGATGGCTTTCAAGCTATATTCTTCCAAAAGTGCTGGGAAAGGGTGGGAGCTGACCTCATCAGCTTTGTTATCTCCTATTTTGTCTCACCTGAACAAATTAGGAGAATAAATGCCATCCTGATTTCTCTGATCCCAAAAATTCAAACCCCTTCTTGCATGACTCACTTTAGGCTCATTAGTTTCTATAATGTGAGTTATAAAGTGGTGGCAAAAAGTTTAGCTGAAAGGCTAAAGCACATGATGCCCCATCTTATTAAAACTAACCAAACTGGTTTTGCTCCTCATCGTCACATTACTGATAACATTCTCATCTTGCAGGAAACTGTCCACTCCATGACAAGGAGGAAAGGGAAGAAAGGCTCATTGTTGATCAAAATTGACTTTGCAAAAGCATATGACAGACGAGATTGGAGCTTCCTTGTAGAAACTCTAGTTGCTTCTAGGCTGCCTGCGAGGTTTGTGGAGATGATCATGAAGTGTGTGACTACAACAGAGTTTCAAATCCTGTGGAATGGAGGAGAGCTTCACCCCCAGCATGGGCCTTCGTCAGGGATGCCCCATCTCTCCCTACCTTTTTACGTTATGTATTGAACAGTTGAGTCACAGTATTTTTAGAGCTGTTGAGAACAAGTCTTGGAAACCTATGGTCCTATCTGTGAATGCCCCCCCCCCCCTCCTTCCCACCTTTTTCTTTGCGGACGATCTGGTCCTTTTTGTTGAGGCTTCCCCCCTCCAGGCTACCTGTTTGATGTCTTGCTTGAATAGCTTTTGTGAAGCGTGAGGGGAATTGATTAGCAAGGATAAGTCTCGCATTTTCTTTTCTCCTAACACTAAAAGAGGTGTGAGACAATCTATTTGCGATGTCCTTGGAATCCAATCCACCAATGACCTGGGAAAGTATATTGGAGTTCCATTGCTACATGGTAGAATTACTAGGAATACCTATAGATATATCCTTGATAAGATTGACAAAAGACACAGCCTGAAAAGCAAAAACTCTCTCCTTTGCTGGAAGAGTTACCCTTGCCCTGTCTGTTTTGAATGCCATTCCAACCTATGCAATGCAAACTATCATCCTCCCTGCCTCGGTTTGTGATGCAATCGATAAAAAGTTTAGATGTTTGTTTGGTGTTCACATAAAGGAAGGAGGAAAGCTCATCTTGTTGCTTGGAACACCATTTGTAAACCTAAAAGCCAGGGTGGTCTGGGTCTTAAGTATGCTAGGATTCTTAATATGGCCTACATGATTAAGAATGCGTGGCTCATGTTTAATGATGAAAAATCTCTATGGGTGTAGGTTCTCCAGGGGAAGTATTTCCACCACAAGGATGTGATGATTGTTTCCATGAAGAACAACAATCACTCTAGCCTTTGGAAAGCTGTCTTGAAAGCTACGCCCATGATGAAGCATGCAACTGCATGGAGTATTAGTGATGGAGCCTCCACAGGCTTTTGGGCTCACCCCTGGATTGACCATGACATTGTCCTTGCTGATTTTCTCCAGCAAGAGATAAATGAACAAGAGATGAACTCTGCTGTTGCTGATTGGGTAATGGAGGAAGGGGACTGGGACTGGAGCAGACTCAACAGTCTCCTACCTGACAAGATCTTTTCTTTAATTGCAGGCATTGATGTTCCCATTCCAGGCTCAGGGGAGGATAATCACATCTAGGGCATTGAACAAGATGGGAAGTTCCGCCTCAAGTCTGCCTACAACCTTGCCCCAGACTCATTCGATAGTGAGGAGGATTCGATCTGGAAGGGTATTTGGAAATGGAAAGGACAGAGCAAGATAAAACATTTCCTGTGGCTGGTGACATATAACATATTGATGACAAACTAGAAGAGATCAAAGAGAGGGTTGACAACCAACAACAACTGCCCTCAGTGTAACAACACTGAGGAAACTGTGGAGCATATCCTCCGTAGCTGCAAGAAGATTAAGGCCAGTCTTGTCTTAATTTCTCATTCTCGCTTAAAAGTATCTGTCGCAAAAGGCCCTTTTTTTGTAGTGCTTCCCTTTGCACCTTTTCCTCTGAACATCCAGAGGCCGCCAAAATTTGTTGGACGATTGTTTGACATTTTCATTGGTCCCTCCATTGTTTGTCAAACCAAAAATGGTGTATCTTTCTTAGTCTCTTTGTCATGGATGTCAATACGTATTCGACAATAGTTAGAGTTAGCCATATCCTCATGGAATACAACTGCTTTGTCAAAATTCGCTCTCCAGGTTGTAGAGCAGATTGCTTTGCCAAGCCTTTGATCAAGTTCGATCGCTATTACTTGTTCAACTAGGTGAAGGGTTGCCCTTTGTATCCAAGGTCGATCAGCGCATTGCGACGCATGTTGTACTTAAAGGTTCTACATTTTCATTACACATGGAGCATCTCTCCTCTTTTTCATGCTCAAAGAGCATTACATTTAGATCACCTATGACTAGCTAACTTTCTTCAATGCTATCCCTAAGGTGATCTTAAAAACCCCTTGTAGCTAAGGCAGTGGCAGGGGCAATTAAAACTAGCGCTCTCACTAACTTTAACATCAATATAGAAACTGTTGATGTCAAGAACTTGAAGGTTCAACCCTAAGTGCGGTCGGAGCCCGTGGAAAAGGAATGACCATGCTCCTAGGTCAATGGGCCTATGTTTGATCCGGCTTTTATAAGTGTTTTTCGGCTTCAAAAGTTTAAGCAAAGCCAAACGCCTCTAAAAGCTCGGTTTTTGAAAAGCCGAAAAGCGCTTTTGTATAACATAAAAGCATAAGCTCCGATTTGGAGTTTCTGCGAAAAGTTGTTTTGAAAAATACAAGATTATCTTTTCCATATTTTAATTTTATTTTATAAAATATAATTTTCTTTCATTTATATTATTTTAAAAATAAAATAAATTATAAAATTATATTATTTAATATAGAAAAAACCTAACAACATCCATTTGTACTACTTTTTATTCTTTATAATCCGTGGATGACAGAGGCTACTGTTTCTCCAATCAAGGAGAAGAACTCTGCTCGACATTGGTTTTTTCCATTCTAGCTAGCTAGCACTTAAAATGGTACACATGGATCAATATATAAAATAACCAAATCTCTAGTTACCGGTGTAATCACTGTCATCCAAGACGGCCAATTGTCATTGAGCAAGTGACCGGCCAAAATCCCAACTTGATAAAGGACATCACCTTCATCGTTTTGCCCTCTTCAAATTTTGATTCATCGGGCAATCCAAAATCGAAGAATAGTTAGACGTATGGCACGAGTAGACTAGGTCAATGCGAGGATAATATTGAGCAATATTGTAGGTATATACCTAGCTAGCTCCTCCGCCATCAATAAAGACAATTAACCAACCAAAGAATTGGTCCCAAAAAAAATTTGGAATTAACGTCTTAATCTTTCACGTTTTGGACACATTTCATACGAAATCGACTGCAAAAAGAACCAATCTAATTGATAATTTGACGTTAATACACTTGGAGTGACAACGTATAGGCATTTACTTCGTATAAAAAAGACCCATCCATTCTTTTCTATACCCCTATAAATATAAAACCCTCTTCATCATAAACTCAACTCAACTCAAAGAAAGAAAGAAAATTCTTAACTTCGTACTCTCAACGATGCATACTCCATTCCTGCTTCTCGTTGCCCTCGTTCTTCTCACCACCTTCTCGTCCTCCTCCTACGCGGCCGACTTCTGCGTGGCCGACCTGACCGGTCAACAGACGCCCTATGGGTACCCATGCAAGAACCGGGCCAATGTCACCGCAGCCGACTTCGTGTTCTCCGGGTTTGTCAGCCCGGGGAACACCACGAACCCGAACAAGCTGGCCCTGACGCGAGCCTTCGTCAACCACTTCCCGGCTCTGAACGGGTTGAACCAGGCCGCGGTCCGGGTGGACATGGAGCCGGACGGCGTCGTCCCGCTCCACAGCCACCCGTACTCGTCGGAGATGGTGTTCGTGGTGGAAGGCAACGTCACCATGGGGTTCATCTCCGGCCTGGACTCCAACATCTTGTACGCCAACAAGTTGAGCAAAGGGCAGGTGATGGCGATCCCGCAAGGGTTTCTTCATTTCCAGCACAACAGCGGGACCACCAAAGCCGTCCTTTTCGTCTCTTTTGCGAGCTCGGATCCCGGTGTCCAGTTTATCACTGGCGCGTTGTTCAGGAACGCTTTCCCGTCTTTCCTGGTGGACAAAACTACTGGCATTAGTCAGGCTGAAGTGCAGCGGCTCAAGGCTCGTTTTGGTGGCACTGAATGATTGTCTTCGTTTCGTTTAATTTCTCTGAGTTCAAAACGTTAATTAAAGATGATATTCAGTTTGTGCATTTGTAACCTTTGTCATGGAAATTTCGAATTTTTTTTATATGTAATACGGGTTAAGGGTCGATGTTTTGCCTGCATTCTGGTTGATTTGTTGGATAACAAAATTATTGTTCTTTGATTTTTTTTAGTATACTACGCAATTAAATTCCGGTGAGAAAACAATAAACATATAAATATGTATCTAAGAAAGAAACAACAAGACCACTAGACCATAAAACCTCGTTGTTTATGGTCTAGTGGTCTAGTGGTTAGTATATTGGACTCTGAATCCATAACAACGATAACAACGAGGTTTTATGGTCTAGTGGTTAGTATATTGGACTCTGAATCCAGTGAAAATAAAGATAAAATAATCATCTCGGAAACCGGCAAGGAAGGCATGAAAGCCAGTCAACAGGCTATCGAGTCGACAAGATAGGATTGGTAGCAAGATATATAATTTGATTAATTCGTTGGCAAGACATGCTTGATAGCGGGTGATCCGCTTGCATGATCGAGCTTTAAATTTATAAGTCGATGCACACTCTCTATTCAATTCTAACTAAGCCAAGCATAACCTAACTAGGGTTGTAGCAAAGTGGCTCGGTCGTATTCAAGGGCGGACCTAGGGCACTTTGATGGTGTCCCGGGACACCCCCTAAATTTTGGAGAAACGATTTTTTAATCCCCGAAGATAATTTACGTATTATAATTGATAGTGAGGGACACCTCTGAAATTTGAGAAAATTATTATCCTACTCTCGTTTTTAGATTGCGTATGGGAATATAAGTGGTAATTTGGGTAACTGAAACTTAGGACACAATTATTATTAATAAACATAATTTCTATTAGGCTACAACTCATTTGTTGTTCGATTTTAAACATTGTGTAATAGTAAAATCTCCCTATCTCTATATTTTTCAAAACCTAACAATTAAAGTAATTTCAAGTTAGCTTTACTTTGTATTGATTTTATGGTTGTCCGACAAGTGTTGAAAGATTCTTTTCAGCTTTGGGTTACATCATGAACAAGTTTAGAATCAAATATGTGATTAGTTCATGAATAATTGTCTAGTAGATATACAGAGAAAATTTGTGTATGCAATATAAACACCAAGTGTATTCGACAATTATTTCCTAATATGAAAATACATCATGGACATTTTTAACTTGTACAAGTCATATATCTTCTTATTTAAGAATTATTTATTTTTATTTATTTTATTTTTTAAAAGAGGACACCCCTACGTAATATTTATGGGTTTGCCACTGGTCATATTCCAAGAGCACCCTAAGCCTATTATTACTTCACTCCAACTACTATCTAATCAAATGGAGAGTTTGGATGAAAGATCTAACCTATCCTATTCCTAAACAACCAACCAAGTGGTTGAGAGGTCGCTAGAGATGAGACGGTTGCTTATGGTCGAATCCTCCTAGCTATGGTTGTCATGTAGGGTTAAGAAAATGTGGTGAGTGAGCTCTTTTTCGTGGGGCTTCGTGATTATCCTCACGCCTCCGCGCGGGTTAACAGACATCGTGCTAAGGAAGTGTGCCGTCAAATCGGGTTTCAATCCTGTTTCCGAGTACCCCTCCCCTAAACCCATGTAAGTCACCTCGATCTAGGATATCATATCTGGGAAGGCATTTTTATGGCAGGGGTACGGTCGCCTCGCGCACCACAAGATCCTATTGATTCATCTAACCCTCATTTGTCAGATGGTGCATACCCGTCTAACCCTAAAACTCCATACGCATGTTAGAAGGTCAAGTAGCCTTGTAGAAAAGATTAGGACGACTTACCCAAGCATAATTAAAGCTAGAGAAGCAGTAAAATCAACTAGATAAACACATTCATTCAAAATCCATACATACACAACCTATAAACTAGTGTGCATCTTACCTAAACAACCATTAGAGATTTAAATCATAGAGAGAGAAAGACAACACAAACTAGAATAGGGGGAGTGATGAAGTCAATCTTCTTCTCCTTGCTTGCACCTTCGTCTTCTTCCTTAGGTGGATTGGATCTTCAATGAAGCTCTCCCAAGGTGTTTCCTTCTTCATTTGTGCCATTTTCCGTACCTAATTCACATGTATCATCTTAAACATCCTAGAATGACAACATAATAAAAAGGGAATGAAATAGGATGCAATTGATGATAAACTTCGGATTATGCACATAGATTAGTACGAAACAAAGCTAAATATGAAGGGCAAATAACACTCATTTAGGTGTTATCAGCAGGACAATGGCATACCAAGCCAGCAGGACAAGCTTGCCTTGCCTCCAAGCCTACAAGACATGTTTGGTGTTATGGAAGTATTAAAAGGTGCCAAACCGATGTGACAGGATTGGTTCCAACAGCTTAATGAGGATCCAAAAAACTAAGTATAGAGATCAAACTGATGGGGTGTCAACCTAATGAGGTGGTGCCAAAGTTTCCAATAGGCCGCCAAGGTACCAACTTGACGAGCTCTAAAAAACTAAAGTCAACCCGAAGACCAACTTAATCGCACCAGACCGTATAGCCACCCCTAGGAGCATACATCATTTGAGTACATTAGCTACAATTTTTTTAATCATTGGTATGCTAGCGCAATTAAGCGTGGCTTATTTCGATTAATCACGCCTCACATCGATTGATTGTGCCTAGTTATGCTCAAACTTCGATTCACCGTTATGAACGCCTAATTGTCTGCCTAGAACCTAGACGATGCGTTTTGTTACTGCCCCGTTCCTAAGCACGCCAACGCGTACGTAGAATTACGCCTTGTTGAACCTTGAGTTCATGTATTTTTTAGGGAGAAAATGTTAGTTATATAGAAGAACAATTGTATACGCTTAATCAAAGTATTCCTATATGATTCTGATCTAAAATACATTTTTTGTTGGACTAGCTTATAACTCGGCCCATTGGCCGGAATATTCATATTTGATTATTTATATTTTTATGTTATGTTTAAGCTAATCAACCAGTTTAATTTTATTGACAATCCTTCGATCGAGATAATACATAAAGAAAGAATATATATAAGTCTAACATTCGGAGAAATACCATCATCATTTAAGAATATAAAATATAAAATGTATCATTAGTTTCATTTTCATAATGATAATTAAGCCCTCATTAAAATGCTATTGGTTAGTTGATTGTCAAGAAAGAGGGTATAAAAGCTCAGTGAAATTCCACACGACCCATCGATAGTTTGAAACTAAATCTTAAACCTCACATCCTACATAAGGATTTAATGCGCTCCTTTTATGAACAATATGCCACTAATCAAAAAGAAATGGAGAGTTGTTGATTCAAATCAACTATATACTAACAACTCAGCTAAGAGGGGACATCAAAACTTGAGAGCAAACGACAAAATTAGGGTTATCTCCAATATACTAATAGACTCAATCAAAGTAATAAGGCACAAAATTAGACACTCCTTGTCTATCAGTTCCAATAGGTTGAATAAAGAATCGACCTACTTCAATAAATTAATCAATGATTCCTCGTTTTAAGATAGAAATAGGTTCTGATAGATGTAAAAACCATAAATATAAAAGATCCAATAGCCACCACTTTTCGTTGTACAACCAAATTTTTATCTCAAGAGACATATGTTTCAACCAAAAATTCAATTTCTAATCCTCCTTTTGCAACTCCATTATTTATTAAACTCTTTTACATGCCCAACTTAAATTCCCAACAATAAAACCGACGTGCCAACAGATACCAGATGATTGATTTTCAAAGGCAGTCTTGTACTGGGAAGTGAAAGGGGTGCAAACTATTGTACGATGGAGGGAATTTTCGAGGAAGTTGGAAAGAGATAAGAACAAAGATAAAACCACAAAATTTAAATTGAAAAAGGCAAGGACACAACATGTAGTGACAAAATTAGTTTTTTTCCATGTTAGCCAATTACCAATTTACCTATAGCAAAAATTAAGGAGAGAGAAAGAATTTTAAAATTGAGAAAGTACATGAAACTCTACAATGAAAATTGAAGTATCAAGCACCATAAAAATATATACGATATACTTAGTGGGCTTGCTAATCATGATGGAAAGTTCTGCGATTTTCAGAGAGTTGAACTTCGTGTATATTTGGTATTCCAAAAGACACAACAAATTTGTTCAGTGTAAATGGTTGTGATTGTCCTCTTTGTTTGAGGAGATCGGGTTCAAATCCTTATGTTGATATTTTTATGTGAGATAAAAATTAATTGTAAAGACAAAAATATTATTTCCTACTTTCACTCTCGTTGCATGAAATTTAAAATGAATAAAATTACACAAAAGTGTACTATATATTATTGGGATTTACTGTCCGAAAATAGGTCAATGCTCTTATGTAGGGGTGGGCATTGGGTGGATCGGGTGGATTTTGACCATAAAATGCACCCACCCGCGCTCAAACGGATTGATAATTTTTAACCCACCACCCACCCACATTTAGTCTCGGGTTGGGTCGGGCGGATGGTGGATGATGCGGGTGGGTTTGTGGGTTCACCCACATCACAATGTATATAATATAAAGGAATCAACTTGACATGATAATAGGCGAAGAGAATCATCGAGGGAAACAAGACGTTGAAATAGGGCGAAAAATGTCGAATTAGTTCTTAAATCGGATAGAAATTCTATTATGAAAGAGTTTTCTACATATTGAGATGATTATTAGGTGCAAGGAACTAAGGAAAATAATTCCACAAAGGAAAGAGCGGTGATCTAGACACAAGAATTAGAGGAAAAAGTAAAGGGAAGAAGAGGGGATCTCAATTTGGAAGGTTGGCTTTGAGGTTCAAACTCCAGGAGCAGTCCGAGTTTATATCTAACGTCTCCACTCTCCTCTCTCTAGCGCCAACGACTTTGATCTTTTTGCTGTTGGGTTGAGCGGGTCACCCGCACACTCACCCACAACCCACCCACCACCCGGCGGATGGCTCCCAGCGCAACCCGTCACCCACCCACAGACCCACCCACTTAACGAAATTCGGGTCAAATGCGGGTGGGTCGGCCCAAACCCGCGGATGATCCGCCTGCATGCCCAGCCCTACTCTTATGGGTGTTTGGTGACCTAGAGGAGACAGTGAACAAATTAGAGTTGTGAAGAGTTGACGAGAATATTTGTATTTCCTTCTAGCAAGCGATGTCTTAAAGTAGACACTCTTAATTGCTCAATGTCGTGCACTCTAAGGTTACCCCCTAGTTCTTAGGTGTCAAATAACTACTAATACTATCATCACTATACACTAGAGTTAACGAAATTATTACTAACCACGTCTAACCAATACGCATATATTATTGCTTCAAAAGTTAAAATTGGTCAAACACATCTAGAAACCGAGTTTTCAATAAAGGCAAAACATTATTATTATCTACTTAAAACTAAACTAAACTGCATGATTCGACTGTTACAACCGAAAAACGGTCTCTAGTTTTATTGCCTTACCGCTCGATCATGTCGCCAAATTAATACAAAAGACTCGTGGGGTGTCTCCCGAAGACAAGTTTAAAGAAGCACGTGGTAAAGCTTTTAAAGAGGCTGGTCGTTCTTTAGAACTTGATTGTGATTTTGAGAACTACAAGGTTTTGCCTGATGATAGGACGGTATATCTTGCTAAATTTGGGAGGGGTTGCAACTTTGTCCCAGAAAATTGTTTCAACCGTTCGATTGGTTTCCGGTTTGAACTCCTCCACGATCCTTACTTATGTTTAAAACATTACGAGGGGCGCGGGGGTGGGGGACACTTCTTTTAGAGAATTGAGTTCATTACCAACTATTCCACGAGCTTCTTATTGATTTTATTATGAACCCTTTAAAATATAAAGTAATTAACTCTATAATAACTCTTTAAATCTCTCAAGTACCGGTGTTATAAAACAACATATTTCGAAATAATTATTAACACTATTTGTTTGCTTGTATTTTCAATAAGAGGTCTAGTTCCTTTCAAAATTTCAAGAGTACAATTATTATTTTTATTATGTTATTTTCGTATGATCTACTTGTATTACTATCCTTACAACTATCAATTTGCTATCAAGTTTTATTTGTTTGATACCAATTAACCACTAAAATATGAATCGCTCACTACACCGGTTCATAATTGCATTGGTTATCATAGTACCCTAAAACACTCCACAAATTATAAGTGGGTCTATCATCGATGTATTTGCTTAAAAAAAAAATCTCCCAACCAATTTCCTGCCAAATATTGAGCCAAATCAACTACATTTTGACCACCGAAAATGCAAGTAAACAAACACACGCAATCATCCACAAAACACCAACCCCTCTCTCTATATAACCCTTTTCCCGATCAATCAAACAAGCACAACCCAACCCAACTCAAAAAAGACCAAACTCAATCACCTTTCAAAGACACCACCACGACACTATCTTACCTTAACTCAGCCACACAAAAATGGCGATGTTTCACCGCCATCATCACTACTACTTCGCCATCCTCCTCTCCACCATCTTCCTCTCACATCTCCACTCCACCCAAGCCGTCGACTTCTGCGTGGCCGACCTCACCAGCCACACCACAACCGGCTACACGTGCAAGAACCCGGCCACCGTGACCGCCGACGACTTCGTGCTCACCGCCCTGGCTCGCGGGGGCAACACCTCCACCAACATCAACAAGTTCGCCGCGGTCCCGGGCTTCGTCCAGCAGCTCCCGGGCCTGAACGGGCTGGGCCTGGCGATCCAGCGGGCCGACATCGAGCCCGGTGGCGCCATCCCGCTCCACACCCACCCGGCGGCCTCGGAGATGATCTACGTGGTGGAAGGGTCCATCACCGCCGGGTTCATCTCCGGGGAGCCGGCCAACGTGGTGTATGTCAAGAAGCTGAATAAAGGGGAGGTGATGGTTTTCCCGCAAGGGCTTTTGCACTTCCAGGCGAACACGGGGAAAGAGCACGCCATGGGGATAGCGAGTTACAGCGACTCGGAGCCCGGGGTGCAGTTGGTGAGCGCGGCGCTGTTTGGCAACGATTTCCCGTCGTTTTTGGTGGAGAAGACGACGAATATTGATGAAGCTGAGGTGAAGAAGCTCAAAGCTCTTCTTGGTGGTTCCGGCTAGGTTATAATTAAGAGGTGTTATAGATATATCGAATTAATTAACCAATATATGTGGAATGAAGATGTCATTTGTTGATGGTTTGTAGTTAGTTTGTATTATAGGCTGGATGTTTGGGTGGAGGAAAATGGTCACTTACTCAACTGTTTTCAATTTATTTGTGATTTGTGAATGAGGTCACAAAATTGTACACCTTTGTAAATTTCCGAGTTTGATTGTGGTGCAGATATTGTTCAATCATAATTATATACTTCTTTCTTTGTTCGTTTGCTTCGTGAATTTGGACGAGGAATTAGTTACTCAAATTTAATCTATTGTTTGCTTGCATATTTTTAGAGACCAAATTTATAGGGCGGCCTACGGATTTTACAGGTCCAAATTCATGAACCCCATAAATTTAGCCTCCGATAAAAGGTTATTCTGATCGAACCCAGTACGATATGATATTTCAATCCTTGATTTAATTTTTAAATATGAACCAACGAGTACCTACATATATAACCATATATACTAGGAGAAAAGCAGCTCTCGACGCCTGCCAGTGCCCGCGGAAAACGTAGTGAGCAGCGGAGCATGCGTCGCCGTGTAGACCATCAAGGGAACTATCAGCAAAGAGCAGAAAAACAGCCCCATCCCGTTCACTTCCTGATCCGGCGCCTCAGCGTCCACCCGCAGGCTCCTGCTCGCAATCTCCGTATACAACGACGCGAAGAACGACGTGGCCATGAACAGGCTCCCTCCGATCATCGCCACCAGCCCGATCCCGATCCGCCGCGGGATGACCCCGAGGAAGTCGTCAAGTACAGAGTGCCGGCACACCATGGCGGCGACGAACAGGAGGAGGGCGAGGCAGGAGCAGTAGAATGCCCCGGCGTTCGACACCGTGAAGACGGTCACTCCCAGTTGGATCCACATGTTCCGCGGGGCGTTGTCCCTGACGTCCTTGTCGCTCAGCGGCGACGCGAAGACCGCCGCGGAGAAGGCAGAGAGCATGAGCGCGGCGATGGTGGTGCATTGCTTGGAGATGTCTTCTAGCCATTTCTCGGATTCTTCCACCAGCGGTTTGTGCTCTTCTGTGAAGACTTGTGTTGGAGTTTGGCCTTTCTCGTTGGCCGCCTCGCGTAGTCTGGCGTGGATCATCGTTTCCACGGTCTGCAAATTCATTTGTTTCAAAGCATAAGCATGGATCTATCTACCCAATATTGATTTGATTCACAAATCACAACAATAAGATCGGTGTTCAAGAAGACGCGATTAATCTCTCGCCTAGGCGCGATTAATAGCTGGGCAGGAGGAAATCGCCCCGTCTAACTCTGGGCGATTGATCTAGGCTTCTAGGCACTCGGAGGCGCGTTTTCAATTTGGTGGGGCGACGCCCAGAACAACTAATAAAGGGGGAAAGTGTAGCCTTTTTTGTTGAAAATCCCAAACCCTATTCTATTTCCCATTTCCATTCGACCAGCCGCTCCCCCTAATCGACTAGCAGTGAGATCCCTCCTCGTGGTTGGCGACTTGGGATGTTTGGCATTGTGGAAAAGGAATGTATCTGTATATGAATGGATGAATAATGATATAGTGACTTGGGTTTTTGTGGAATATGGTCTTATCTATCATATTTTTTTTCAACGTTTAATCTCGCCTAGACAATGACTAATCGGCCTGGGCGCTGGGCGGTGCCTCCTCACCTAGATAGCGCCTAGCGTCTTCTTGAACATTGAATAAGATCAATCAAATTACGCAATAAATTGACTCGTTGTCATTCCTAAGATTAATCACTCCATCTACGAGGCTATCTAGATCATGGAATCAACCAGAAGCAATAGAAATTGGGGAGAATAAGCAAGCACTATAGTAGGAGGCTGGTTGCTCTCTGTTTTTTTGTTTGGCTACTGAAGTAGCCGTTTGAATTTTGTTATTTATGAGTCAGACAATGAGCTAGCAGAAGGAAACTAACCTTGAACCATCTGAGCTCTTCCTGGATTTGCACAAAAGGTCCATAAATGGTGCGCCTTGGTCCCAACCTGGCGGCCAAATGCAGCAAGTTGTTGTTCTTGTTACCGTCATCCTCACCGTCGACTTTTGTATGGGTAGTACTACTTAAGAGATGTCCCAAGGAGAAGTACTTCTTTTCGTACAGCAACAGAAAGACACCGTCCTGGCGATGCAGAACCGCCAGCTCCATCATATTGTAACGTCCCTTTCCATCATCATCGTCGTCGTCATCTCGTTCCATAACGGCAACAGGGCAGGCATTGGCTAGCGCCTCGACGAACAGCACATTCCCCCGTTCGGCAGCCATTCGCATTGCTCGTCCGAAGATCGATCTCCTTTCGTTACCACTGAAGTGCAGATTGGCTTCGAGGATGAGCTGCTTTAACAGAGGCAAGGCTTCATCCCAATTCACTGCTCTGAATGGAGACGCCATGCCAAACACTCTCCATGCAGTGTCGCACAATCCACAAGCTCGACCAAGAATGCCTTCATTGCCATCGCCGCTTGTGATGACCGCACTCCCTTCAAACCGCAACAGCAATGTAGTCAAAATCACGCTGTAAAACTTGATAATAACTTACCCTCTTATGCTTCCAGATCACCGAAATACTTCTACCTAGAATCGCGCTTTTGATTGCATTGCACACTAACGGTACCTGAACGATGTATGGTGTGCACCACACATACTTCTTAGTACAACCAAAATTTAAGCATACAAATCTAACAGAAAATGGAGCACGTACTGCTGGGTTTGTTCTTGGTCAAAAGTTGAGTAGACAACGTTCTATCGCCATGCCTCTTCTTGATGGACGCCCGATCTCTTTTAGCCAACATCTCTAAAGCAGTCATACCCGTCAATATATCCGTGCCACGCCCTAAACTCGGATATCTCTCCATCATAATGAGGGCAATACCTAATCACAAATGGAATGTTGTAAGCAAAAGAATGCAAACACAGATATCTCACACGCATGAACATATATCGAAACAGGTCGTAAATCGAAAGTCGTTGCTTGGTTACCATAGAAATCAGCAGCAATGAGGAGCTGAAGGAGCCTGACGCCCTGGGAGGCAGCCAGAGGACTGTCTCCTACCAGACCATCATCACCACCATCATGCGGCCAAATGCCAAAGATGACGGACAAGAGATAAACGACGACGTCCCAATTAGCAAATGCAGCGGCAGAATGAACCGGCGTGTCGCCGAAGCAATTTCGTCGCGAAATCAAGTCGCCCGTCAGTAAAGGGTCAATCGCGACGATGGCACGCACGGCCGCCAAGTTGCCAGCTTCCGCCGCGGTGTGGAGGAGTGTGTTGCCGATATCATCCACCGTGACTCGCAGCGAATCCTGTGACAACTTGGTCAGTTGGTTCTGGAGGAAAGCGGTCGAGCTCGGAGACAGTACGGCAAATTGCAGAATGGATGTTTCAGCGCGGGATGCAGAGGTTTCCCCTGCAGTTTTCCAGTCGTGCTTCAGAGCTGCTTCGTAGGCGGAAGAGTTGTAGTGGTTGGATTCTACCTCCTCCGGTAAATCCATTGTTGGGTTGTTTTTCTTTATTGGGTTTCCGAATGCTATATTGGGATATGTTAAATGATCAATGTCTACTTGAGCATAATGAAGAGGAGAAGAATATGAAGAGAGTAGAGTCTTGAAGTCACTTAGTGTTAGTGGTCGCACCTTGTATGGAAATATGTTAGAAAAGAAAGATTCCATTTTAACGAAAAATCTATTTTCTTTCGTTTCAGTTTCATGTTCATGTTCTCCCCTTTTCCAAGCTAAGTAGATACCAAGCTTGTGTTCTACGGCGGGAAATATGAGAAGGAATGCTTTACTAAAGTAAAGTAGTTTAAGTACATGAGGGTAAAAGAATTGGCGCCTTCAAGCTTGACGTTTATGGTTGACGGGTGCTATCACCTTCCATTTCGTTTTCTAGACTTCTGATATATCCATAAGAATGTTCATCGAGATTCAGTTCATGAAGAAGCAAAGATGCTTACCATTTTCTATGGCTTCGTGGTCGTGGCGGTGATGGCCATCTCGTTTTCGATTTTCGCTCTAGCAATGAAGGGTTGCTGGTGGCGGCTTCCTCATCCAGTATCGCATACCGGGTTCCAACCTACAAAGCAGCATAGAATGTCATCCCGCAGTATTGAGATTCCAATACATGAAGGGAAAAGTGACTAAGTGAGTAATTTAGAACAAGATTCTGAAGCAGTGTCTGCAGTGTGCAGTGTTCAGTGTGCTCGTCGAGTTTTGAGGAGAAGGAATGTCTAAAGCTGCTGCCGAACTGCAACCACTCTTTCCATGCACCTTGCATAGCAATGTGGCTCTACTCCCATTCTCAGTGTCCCCTTTGCCGGGGGCTTCCATCGACAGGTTATAGCCTGAAAATGATTCGATCTCCACAGTAGGATTGCTAAATGTTGTTTAAACCTCAGGTGCCTGAGTATTCTCAAACCATATTATGGTTCCATCTTAGATTATGCTAGTAAAGTATCACTCTTATTAAATAAGAATCATACAACTTTGTAAGTACAGAGCAAGTGTTTTTTCACACCTTGATAGATGTCAAGGCATACAGAGGTTGAAGTTCATCAGCATGGGTTCAAATATATACAATCATAAGTGGGAAGAAGAAAGAGTTTACTCTGGAAAGATTGCCACCACAAACATCATCATTGGTCTCACACATATAGTTAAAAAGCTGTTTCGTTTGATTCTCCTCTGAAATTCACATCCTTCTTAGATTATCTAATCTTGCCTGCAAATCATCATCTAGTCCACCAGTGTCTTCATGGTTCCCAGTTGATTCAGCTTGGGCCGGGACCTTGTTCTTTGCAGCTGGTACAGAGACGGCGGCTGAAGGTGCATTAACCAGCTGCATGGCATCGAGAAAATTCCAATCTTGTCAGTTTATAACGGTTTGATTCTAACGAGATACGAGGATCATGAAAGGGAAGTGTACATACCTCGTTATTAATATCTATCCCAATCTCATCGAGCACTTGGCTCACGAGCTCGTCTGTTTCTTCCTCTTCTTCATCTCCATCAAGAGCATCATCAATAGCATCTCCCATCACCTCTGAAGTCATTTCCATCTTTTCATTCTGCCTCTCGAACTCTTGCATTATTTTCTGCAGGGATGGCAAATTCATCTGCCTGTTCATCTGTCCCATTGCTTTCGTCACACCTTTCATAGCTTCCCCCATTGCTTGAGTCGATTTCAGGGTCTGTAAAACAAATTTCACATTTCAGCAAATACAAAACAATCTTGATTCCAGAATCCAGCTATATCAAGAAAACTCGATGGGATCAGATGAAAGATCCAATCCTAATTTGGTATACTGAAAACTAAATCATATTAGTACATCCCACAACGCAATCTACCCTGATAATACCCAATGACAACAATCAATTGATATGCTGCATCGGTTGAGGAGCTGAGCAATGGGAATTTCAGCATATATGTAAAAAGAGAAAAAACAGAACAAACCTGTATTCTCAAAGAGACGCCCTGGAGTTGCGACTTAAGTTTGTAAAATTTTTCGATCTGGTGCCTTGTTCTGATAAGATCCTTAGCCATTACTCTAACAGCTCCCTATAAAAATAAGCAGTCGGCAGAGTTTGTCATACATACAGACAATGCGGTACAAATGTGAACTGTTTAACTTGCAAACAGATGCACATTTAACTGAACAACGAAAATAAACATTCCGAGAGGACGAAGGAGCAAAGGTTTGTATTCACATTTTATACACGTACTACTAGAATTCAAAGAAGTTTACTTTAAAGCATGGCATTCTAGTTAAGCAAACAATGTTGTATGATAAATCATCAAACACTAAAATAACGAACTCTAAGTGGATACAATGAGTTCCACAAAGTCCTTGAGAGTCTATAAACAAAGAAAGATGGAAGCCAAGAGCTTCATGATATCCAATTCAAATCGATACACATCTACCAACCCTGATATCGAAGCATTGAAACTCATCGAAACCAAGTGAAGCAAGTATGATTTGAGCAATCCATAACTTGACCATCAGCCACTTTCAGCAACTCAAAAGCTACCGATTCGATCTCCAAAATCAACAATACAAAGAAGAAACCAATCTTAATGCAAAGCAGTAAATACCATCTGCCCATTCTTGGCATTCTTCTTAATCTCAGCAATCAGCTTCTTCTCCTGAGTCTGAAGGCCTTGCCTTTCTCTCTCTATGTCCCTTATTGACTTGTCGATCATCCTCTTGTTCTCCCTCAGCAGCTCTACACAAAACCCACAAAGATTATTAACCCTAAGAATCTCAACTTTTTAACAATCAAATCAAAACCCCTCCCGCCACAAATTCAATCTGAGAGACGATCCCAAAGAAAAGAGCTTCAAAGCTTACCGGCTGGAGTCTTTCTGTTTCCGAAGAGGAAACTCATCTTGCCGATCGAATTTGCCTACCAGATGATCTCCAATGCTTCCTTTCTGATCACTTTGATTACCCCTTCTGTGTGAAGACGTTTGGTTACTTCCGATAATGACGCGTTTGGTTCCTTCACCGGTACGGTGGTTGCCTGGTTGGAGAAGAAAGGCAACTGGTTTGGAGGGCAAAGATTCCTTGGGCTGGCTTATTTCATTTGGGCTTCAGCAAGCCAAATTCTAGCCCACTTGGATAAAAATTTAGGCTTATTTTCCTCTTTTTCAAGGCAATTATGATATTTAAGCCCAACCCAATTACACTGAATTTGTCTTGCCCATTCCTCCTATCTGGAATGGTGTGGTATCTTATTGGAATGCAACAAGGTTGTCAAACTGGTTTATGCCAGTGTGCCGGTTTAGCAAGTGGAATGGTTCAACCGGTGGCACATACCGGTTTGTGCCGGTTCATACCGGTCAATATTACAAATAAAATTATAATACTCAAATTTAAACATGACATTTAACGTCAATACCTAAACATTTATACTTGAATCCAACAAATAACATCAATATTTAACTTTTATACTCATACAATAAATAATAAAATAATTTTTATCAATTAAATTCTCTAAAATAAGGTCATTTTACTTAGAGATTCGTATATCGATCATGTCGGTCATACCGATGGTGTCACACCGGTTTTATGACCGGTACCGGTTGAACCCGGTACAACCGATGGCACGCCGGCTGGCGTGACAACCATGGAATGCAACGAGTTCGGGTGAAGTCGGTTTTCACAAATATCATCCCTGAATCATGGTTTCTAAAATAACAATCATTTTCGTAATCAAAATTGTATATAATATAATATGTAATATCAAAACCAATCAATATGTGGTTCGGCAAAAAATCGGCATTATTTTATATAATCTAAAAATTTACTTTGAATATCAATGTAAAATGAAGTTTTTTTGTCATATTATTTGTAGGACATAAAATATTAACAAGATTTGAGGTCTAAGAAATAATTATAATGTTTTAGGAATATGATGAAAGAAGTGGTAAAGTGAATGAGACTATAACATATATTTGGGTGTGTTCAGAGAAAATTCACAAAACATATATTTAAAATATCAAAACCGTACCAAATTCATTATCCTTTTTATCGAATTCGGAGAAAATTCACCCAGAGATAATATCGATTGGATTTTCCACGACAAAATCTATTCATATTACGGTGATGACCTATTTTGCCATCCCTAAATAAATCCACAAACTTTTCTATCCCAAACTACAATAAAATGCCAACCTTCTTGTTTCAACTTTTCCGATTCTAATGTCAGCAACCACTGGCGGAGCTGTGTTAGCATGCACTCATGCAGCCACACACAGTAATCAAAACTGGAAGAGACAAAGACCAGCTTCAACTATGTGAAGACATTCCACTTTTGACCAAAAATTTATCACCTCAGTTGGCGAACTTGATACTGCTGGAAACTAGAGGCAGGCAATGAAGAGCTCGTTGGTTACTTCTTCGGGGAGCTCTATGCTGCGGGTCCAGTTTTCAGGGCGAAGTCCAAATCAGCAATTAGATCATCCACATCCTCGATCCCAACAGAGATTCGTATAAGATCCTCGGTCAGGCCTCTGGCTTCTCTGACTGCGGCAGGAATGCTTGCATGCGACATGAAGCATGGCATGCTTATGAGCGACTTCACACTCCCTACAAAGCACATAAAAACACAATGTAAGATCATAAGGAGAAGCTTTTCGATATCCACAGACAAGATGATGTTGGAAGAAAAAACTGATTCAGAATCACAATTCAATCAAATGGTATGTTGGATAGCTATGAGAAAGCTACGAGTAGAGCAAGAAAGTTTTTTTTTTTTTTACCGAAACTGACTGTCACACTGAAATACTTGGTGGTCTCCACGATATGCTTTGAGAGAGCCAGAGATCCTGTCAGAAAACTGAGCACTGATCCTGCTCCCTGTGCCTGCAAGAGATCGTTGGAACAATCATAATGTTATTGTACGAATAGGTTTGAGAGGTTGGAGTTCAGCTTAGAAGCTCCACAAGAAATTGCATCTACCTGGGAGTAATGCAGTTCGCGACCAGGATGATCAGGAAGCCCGGCGTAGTTGACTCTTTTAACTCGTGGATGGGAAGCAAGAAACTCAGCTATCTTCTGTGCATTCTCCTGGAACAAATCAAACATAATAGACACAGGAGATTAGAATTCCCAACAGAAGCGGTTTACAAAGCAAAGATTAGTGCCTTGGTTTGTTCCAGTCAAACAAGGGTGGCGTGTAGTCACTTTGAACAAACAAAACTATAAACAAGCTTAAGGAAAGCAACTAGCACCTGTTGTTTCTCAACACGCAAAACCATCGTCTTAATACCTCGCAAACAAAGCCAGCAATCATTCGGGGCAAGACCTGAGCCCTCTGCATTTTGCAAGAAATACAAATTTCTCCCCAAGCTGAAAGTACGAGAAACCGCAAGATAGATGAACCAAGGACCTCACAAAAGAAACTCATACGAAGAAAATGTCTAAACTATATTATGTATTGCACTGTTAAGTAAGATAATATCAACATAGAGCACGAATGTGCCTGCATGTATAATGCATGTTAGCGATCTCCCTGGAAAAGATCTCGTGTTGGGGCAGAATTTCAGTCTAATCAATTTATAGCAGAATAACAGACAGCAGATGTTTCCATAGTTATAATTATACACATAAACATTAAAATATTGGGCAATAATTTTGATTCCAGCCTAAGGGACAAGCCCAAACCCTTGAAGTGCTTCAGTAATGTACATAATAACTTAATAAGTCTAAGGTGCCCTACAAGGGAGTCATTAAACTTGATCCATTCAGGTAAATGTTTCCTTATAACTTGAATGAATAATTAACTAAGTGCAGGCAGATAACAAAGTCGAGGAATTATGAGTGTCTGACCTTTCTCCTTTGACAACAAGTACCCCCGCCATAAGATCGCTATGCCCAGCTATGAATTTAGTTGCTGAGTGCATTACAATGTCTGCCCCAAGCTCTAATGGTCGTGACAAAACAGGAGACATAATGCTATTATCCACCAAAAGAAGAGCACCATTTGCATGAGCTATCACTGCAATTTTCTGAAGAGAACACAGTAAGTTAACAAAGATCGTCCCCAACGAAAAACCAAACAGCACAACTATAGGTTCCCCAAGCAACCATAAAATAAGTGTTGAAAAAAGGATTATTTTTCTCAACTCATTCTACCAAAATACATATGAAATGCAGAAAAGCCGACCTGACGTCCAGTATACAGATGATATGCCAAAAATGATTAGCTATGCATGACTAGACTAGAAAATACAATATGTGCACTATACATGTGGGAGAAAACTTACGCGGATGTCAGAAATTTGTTGACGTGGATTTGTTGGGCTTTCCAGCCACACAAGCTTTGTCCGAGGCCCCATTGCAGAGGCGACCTCTTCCAGGCTACTTGTATTCACTCGTCTGCATTCCAACAGGTATATAATAATTTAGATTGATATTTAGTATCTCGACAACAAAGAGGGAAAGAGGCACCAAACTAACTTCACCACAATTCCACTTCTTGGGATCACTTGTGACAACAATCGATCAGATCCACCATAAATGTCATCTCCAGCAACAATTTCGTCCCCTGGCAAAGCATGCAAAACTATTTACTCAAAATAGTTCCAGCATAACTTGTAACGGTTTCTGGTAAGTACAAATTCAAAAATAACTTAAGCGTTTCTACAACTAAAGACAAACCAGTTCCAAAAAGATGACTGACAGCAGCTAAGGCAGCCATTCCACTTGTAAAGCAAAGTGCTCGATCCCCTTTATCTAGCTTTGCCAACAAGCTAATAAACCATGATGAATACACAGTTAATCTTAAATCATCAAACGAAGACTAAAGCAATTACATATATTATATGCCGTGGAACTTTGAAGCTTGACTAGCATAAGAGCGCAGAAATACACCTTTCTAAAACATCCCGAGTAGGATTCCCGCTTCTAGTGTAGTCATAAGGGCCATTTTCTGTTGCTGATGGCTGTAAAACAACAATTAGACGTTTGGAAAAGCAAGAAAAAAAACTTACTAGTCGTTTGGATAAATGAGAAAATAAAACAAAGGAGCATGGCTGGGATCCCATGCGAGATTATTACCTGCTTAAATGTAGCAGTCTGGTATAGTGGCACACTCATTGCATCATAAGGATCAAACTTGTTCTCAAAGTTCATCAAGATGGTGGATACACTGGGCTCCCTCACATCAGCTTCTGAAAAAATATGAATCATAGTGATGATTGAGATCGCTAGATTGGACATTTGATACAAGCTCCAATCTAATCAAGTTGAAGAACACAACAGACCCTGCAATGATTCTGTCGCTGTGCCAACCGATGTTGAAATGCTCAGATCAGTTTCTTTCTCCATCACACAATGCACCTGAAGTCTTCCTGATAATTCAGAACTCCTTAGTTGTAAATTATGCTCCTTTCTGACTAAGAGCCGTGAATAATTGTTTCTGCAGAGACCAACCTACACCGGTACCAAAGGAAAAAAGTCATAAACGCATTGTGAAGCTTCGGCAACATCAGATGACATAAATCAAGTGCTTGAATTGCACAATGAAAAGATCGTTAGGAAAACTTATTAGTCTGTCATGTCAACTTGCATCAGTGATTTCCTAAATTCACCGAAAGAAAGTAACTTTCTCCAACCATTAACCAACTAAGCTTCAAGTTATGACTTATGACAACTCCATATCAGATACTTAAAAGAGTTCTCTAATCTCAGCAAACCATTCAAAGAACTGAAGTATTCATACCCTTGGGGTGAATTACACTTACTTGAGGTGTGATAATCGTCGGGGTACAAAAAGGGCCCTTCTGCCGGAAAATGGCTTGGCAATGGCTCATTATCCCACTCGCCACCCACGAACTTTAGGCCTCCTCCGCCGCCGCCGTTGAGAAATCAGTGGAGAGCGAGGGAGAAACAGAAGGCGGTGAGCAACCGGTTCAAGCTAATCGGACACAGCAGCCATTTGCTTAACGGCAGCGAAGAACGGTCGGCCCGGTGGGAAGCGAGCTATGGATGGCGCGAAGAAGAGAGCGACGGGAGGAAGATGAATCTTGATCAGAAAGCAGGCCTGGTTCAAATTTGCGTCATATTCTGAACAACCTACTTCTGCTTGTACTCTGTCTGTCGTTTGGTTCTTGATTTTTGGGCCATGTCTATTTTTAACCCAAACCTTTTTCAGATTCTTTTATTTTAACCAAACCTATTGAATTCCTAAAAATTATCCAAACGTTAACTCTCCGTCAACTTTTCTGTTAGTAATGCTGACTAAGTATGACCATAATGAGTTGACTTCCTACGTGACGGTCAGAATACCATCATTTACTATTTTTAATAAAAAGATTATCAAAAAACAAAACAAAATCTCACCCCTCACGTGGACGAAATAAGTAACGGTAACAGAATGAATGCCCAGACTTTGATAAATTATAATACGTTTGGATAATAAATAGAATTTCTATAGGTTTGGTTAAAATAAAAGAATTTGAAAAAAGTTTGGGTAAAAAATAGACATTGCCCTTGATTTTTTCCCCCTTTCTTTCCCTTTTCCTATGTAATTTTTCGGGTAAAATACATTGATCATTAAGTTTAAAAATTGGTGTATACATATATCATTTAAGTTCGTATAAGATGTCGGCTAGTCTATTAAAGTCGTCAAAATGTACAGCCAATTAATTTTCATCGAACCAAAAAAATTAATTACTGTTTGATACCCAATAAACAAACTGACATGTAGATAATCTTCTCCGACCAAAATTAAAGCTACGAATTTTCCATTCAATAACAGCGGAGGTTGAGAAGGACCATGCATTAGCAGGTGAGAAAGAAAAGAAGTGTCTTCAATTGAAGCCAAAACTTGAAGTATCATTGTACTTACTTGAGTTACACGCTTTGACAACGTTGATTTTAGTTTAAGTGGGTCATATAAAACAATTTCATAAATTCCTAACGCGTGGTTGAACGGTGGACACTCATTTTAGTTTAGGATGTAAGGAAGTAGTTAAAATTATACGTTGAAATTTCTCAATGATTCGAATTATTGGGATCAATTGATTTATGACATGGTATGAGACTTAGGGGTCGTTTGGAAGTTGCGATTGTTAAATAGATGTATTGTTGAGAATGCATGTATAATATTATATATGTATTGTCGAATTTGATGCATTGTAGAATACAACGTTTGGTATGTGTGATTGTGTATGTCACATCAGCTAAAAGCTGAGACAAAACAATCTCAACTCAACTATCTCAACAATCACAACTAAAAGTTGAGATATAACAATCACTCAAAATGAGTGATAGTTTCTGTCACATCACAGAAACAATCCATGTATTGTTTCTGCTAAAAAAAACAAAAAAACGATGCATTGTAAACAATACATGCATAATGACAATCTCAACAAAACAATCGCAACTTCCAAACGACCCCTTAGTCTATCTTTGAGCTCACATGTTCAAATCCTCTCAATCACAATACTAATCGTTATCTTAAAGCATATGGTATATAGTAATTGTAAAATCAGATATGATCCATATGACTCAATCTGTCCCGACTTGTTTGGGGCGGGTATTACCAGACTCGCACTAATGTGGGGTGGGCATGGGTATTGCTTCCGGCTTGTCTTGTACCCTCCCGCATTGTTATATCATATGATTATATTAATATCTACATGTATTTCTCCTGTTTGACATTTCTAAAATCATATTTTAATCCCAAAGAAATTTTAAGACTATATTTCAACTATTTAGATTCAACTATTTATTATGCTATATTTATCATTCATTTATAAAGTGTTTTCACTACGATTTCTTGTAAAAGAGTTAAATATCGACATTTTTTCATATAACATATAAGAATGGATCAACCCCGACCCCGGAGCGATGCCTGCGTGGGTTTTCTTATCCAAACAACCCTTTGAACATGCACAAACATAAAATTGTAGGTGATAAAGTGCTGGATGTTGAAGTGATCATATTCCCTGTACTTAACGGATGAACAGTTCTCAACAGTTTGCATACATAATGACAACATAATGCATGAACAGTTCTCAACAGTTTGAGGGACTATGGAGACGAGAGAGAGCAATGCATGGCAAAATGAGAACATAATGGGCATTGAGCAAGACTCGAGATGTTGAGAATTAAGAAAAAAATTGGAACTTTGGACATGGCATTTCAAGAGACGTTCTTTCTTCTCATTTCACAATTGAAACTTGACTCTTTCTATTAGATACTAAAATCCCATAAAAAAGGTGGGGTTAGATGGAACAGAACATTTTAAACCTTTTTTTACTTTCAGAAGTTTGTGGTCCAGTTGAGATGGCCCAGTTGAGGCTGCTGCTGGTAAGCACCTACTTGACCACCAGGTGCAGCTTGCGCCACACCAACTCCAACGCCACCGCCCATTACTGGAGGACCCATATGGTGCGGGTTGGCCATCCCAGCTGGCTGTGCTGAAGGGTACAACCCAGGAAACTGTATGTGTGAAGATTGTGCCGCAGCATTGAACGATGAATGACCAGCGTGAGCCGGCAGATAAGCAGCAGCATGGGGCGTTTGTCCTGTCATGTTGTAGTATTGAGCAGCAGATTGCATGCCAGGGAGCTCCCTCGGGTTCTGAATCCACATCTCAGATGCCTCGGCCTGCCACACAACGGAAATAAAACATCAGGTAAAAAAACACGAAACTTCATATAGTTAGAGGGTGGGACTTGTTCCGGTAGACTAAAAAACAGCAAATTCATTGTGAAACCAGAACCCAGCATTGTGATTTTGGTAAACAAAACACAGTATTTGGCGTAACTAACCAAAATGATACAAAAGATTGACAAAAAATAGCAAAAGTATAACACAAAGCTCAGCATCCTAAATTTACAGCACTAACAAGCAAATCACATTGCTAATGGCTAACGCACATTCTACTAGCACTAATCTAATGCAACAACCCTAAGGTTCTCAACAAATTCTTAAGGACAAAGCAACGACCGTTAAGAATGCAAGCAACACAGTGATCAGAGTCACATGGGAGAAATAAATAAAACAGTTGAATCTCTTAATTTCTCTAGATCAATGCATTTCGTAGATGAAGCAACGACTGTAGGAATGGAAGCAACACAGATAAAACAGTTGAAGTTCTTAAGTTCTCTAGATCAATGCATTTCGTAGATGACTTCTGTCAGCAAAGTTCACACATTACCTGTGGATTAGTGACATAGAGGCTTCCATCCTTATACTTAATCCGAGAAGGGTCTTCAAGTCCTGTTCCATTCCCAACCACACCAGGAGCATTCATCGCGTATCCAGTTGGGCTAGTGAAATTTCCAAAACCAGAAGGACTGCTACCAGGAACTGTCTTGAACTGCTGTACACTATACTTTAACCCATTGGCATTGAGGTGGGATCCACCTCCAGGCATCAGCAAATAACTGCTGGCGTTCGATGGATGTGCATATGCAGCAGCGTTGGTTGAGTAGCCAGGCATGGCCATCTGCGGTAGGTAAAGTGGGGAAACAAACTGGCGGAACGGCATCATGTTGGCAAAGTGGGGCATGTGCACTTGTGGGTACATCTGAGCAGCGATTGGTTGATGGTGCTGCTGCTGTAACATTGGTATTGTAGACGATGGAAGGCTGTGGGCTGAGTGTGAAGCTAGGGACTACAATCAATACATACATATCATGCAAAGATCCATGGTTGTCAGAAACGAGATTTTACTAACTTCTAAAGGGTGGTTCATATAAAATAGTATGATTTCATGGGTAAGATCCAACAATGTTTGCCCCTCTATCAAGAATCCTAAAATTGTAAGATTTTAAGATCCAAATAAAAAAATCAACAAAATTGCAAGCATCAGTGAAGCATCAGTGAAGCCCAAATTAAACATTTGTGAAAGCTGCATGAATTTTTACCTCCTGGGGAGAAGGCACACCCTGATGTCCTCTTGCAGTTTCATCGTATGAAGGTCTAAAGTACGACATATCATAACTAGTCTGTGGATCATACCCCTGCTTAAAAATAAAATGCAGATTGAGAATTGCCTCCCTAATCGAGAACAAGAAAGGGGAAGTAAAAGCTGGAATAAGGAACTCACTTGAAAGCTCTGTAATTCAGGAGGATCTTGATGCTGATGGTGTGACTCGGCGTGATCATACGATGGACTGGTTTCTTGAACCAAACTGATATCAGCATAATTATCCAAGTTTGGAGGACTTGGAGATTTATCAGGCAACTGTGGCTCAGATGCTCCGCCTGAAGCTGGAGAAACAGAGCCAGAGTGTCTCAATTTCTCAGCTGATACTTCATCGTGCTTGGTACCAGAAGCATCATCACCCGTAGACTCCACAACAGATGCAGTCAAACTGTCATCAGGATCAAAATTCTGTCATTAACTTCACAAGTTTCCAACAACACGGCAAGGTACTTACTCTAATTGACAATGCTTAGTAATCCAATAAGAAGATCCCAAGCTTCGAGCATGCCATTTAACACAACCAAGGAGCTGCAACTACGGAGCCCCTTTTTGTGGTCCATAGAATTACCGAACTCTTTTGATTATAAAAAAAAAAAAACACCAGCTTTTCACTTGGGTATCCAAGTATTTATTTCCTTAAAGAAAGCTTTCAGTCCAAATCATTTTCTGTATCCATAGAAGAATGAGTTCAGCTGACAATTATTTATGTGCATTCTACAGCAAACAAGTGCACTGTGTAGATATGCACAATCACCAAAAACGAACAAGGACTAAAAGACATACCTAGTAGTAGATTCCCTTTTATTTTCTTCTGTGACCCCAACTGCTGAAAATCCAGAACTGAAATTCCTGGAGGAATCAAGCTCGACCCCAAAACTTCCAAAGGTAAGCCTGCAACGGTCAGTTTCAGGCACCCGAATGTGCTGTGCAATGATCACATTCTGGTTTTCATTGATTTTCACCCGAGAAAGCTTATGAGGCAAATCACCAGCATCAGTTTTCAATCCCTTAGAATTATCAGCAACAGGAGAACTTGATTTTGTGGGTGTCCCGATGACTCCAGGCCCATTGACACTAACCTTCTGAGTTGTTTTTGGTTTCCACTCTTTATTATGCTGAGAAGCTGCACATAAAGGTCACAAAAAACACCTTCTCAGTCAAATGGTAGACCAGCAAACAAATTTAGTTGCTGCACAAGCATAACCAAGCAGCTTTTTACCCTTTTGATGACCTGCACTTTGTTGATGAGGTCTACTGCTATATTGACCACCTAAGAATGATCTGCTAACAGTAACACCAGACACAACAGCTTCACTTGCATTAGCTTGATGACTGACTTGGTCATTCTTAGAGATTGCAAGAAAGGGTTGGAATGGCTCTGACAAAGGGCTATCCTTGGCCAATGCAGAACTCGGCAATGAACTACTAGTTGCAGATGGATCTTTCATTGGACTTCCAGAAGTTTGTCGGCGACCTCCCACCACACCAACTTCACGTTTAATAGCTCCAACGGCAGCCGATGGTCTGGCATCCGGCGAAGGAACATGGACAGGATCTGTTGCAGAAGAATATACCCCAACAACAGTGGCAGACTGGTTTTGAGAACTGTTAGGTCTTCCTCCCTGTAATCGTGAAGCTGCACCGGGTGTTACTGCCCTTTTCTCATCCAAATTAGTTCTCCTTTCAGTTCCACTCGAGTTAGCATCTCTATTGTGTCTAACACCAAGAGAAACAGTATGCCCATTAGTAGCCTGAGATGGACCGAGTTCAGCAGACGCTTTCAGAGAGCTGGAATTTGCAGTTGAACTGGGGGATACAGCACACGTGTTAGAATCGACTCAGTTGTAGAATAGTCGCATATAATTGCGTAATATGAACATAGAGCAACAATATTCATCCCCTCATGTTTGCATCATCAATCCCTCAACTAGTTATTGAGTAATAATGCAGTCAAGAGGTTTCTGACTCTGAACTAAGAAGGAAAGATATGAGCAGACATACCCCTTCACAGCATGCTCATTGGACGATGAACTTTCAGAAATATTAGACTTCAGTTCTCTATTTGTATTTCCATTGACTCTATTGTCCCTCACAACACGAAACTCTCTACTCGGTCCACTATTACTAGGGACAGCATGACGGGTGTAGCCTCCTCGTCTGCCATTGCGGTCATTAAATGTCCTAACTCCTTGAATAAAATTCTCAGAACCTCTTCTGAACTGTTCTGAATCCCTGTAACCCATACTCTGAGGACATAAGCATATAAACCCATGAGTGCACATTAGATAGGACAAGAATAAACATGAAGGGGAAACAAAATATAGAGAGCAGTTTACCTCCTTCTTCCTGTCTTTTCTTCTCCTCACCTCATGGAAGGGGTCTGATAGAAGACAAATCAAGCACAGTTGAATAATATATTATGCTTCAACATCAGTAACACGAGTATAACTAGTAGACCAAACAGGGAGCGGAGTCAAGAACTTAAAATGATCCATCGATCAGGAACATTGCTAGGCCAGCCACTAGTCAGCCCAACGGAAGCAACCACAGACCATCAAGGGAAATACTGAGTTCATAGAAGACGAGCAAACAATAAAGTCTAATGCTTTATGACAATACTAAATTCTTGATTCTGTGTTGTGACTTGAGGCATTGCATGTATCCTACATTACATCAATAAGCTATAGAACAAAATTGCAGGCAAATTGACACTGAAATGCTCTAAACACTAAGCACCAACAAAGTGCAATTTTTAGCTAAAGTATTAGAAAAACTTCTTTCTTTCAGCCACCAGAAGGAAACACAATATTTCACCAGTGCTTTCCAAATGATTGACATATATACAAAATATAGTGTGGAAGAGAACGGCAAGCAAATCCACATTCCACGATTTCCTTGTCAACACCTATAGCAGGTGCCTAGAGCAAAATGAGATCTTACAATGCCAAAAGTGGAATGCCAAGTGCGAATTTCATATTCGATGATGATCACTAGAGCACGAAACTAACATCTACATGCCAAGTAGCAGCATATTCAGCTTAGACGAGCCAATAACACCGAGTTCCAACAGAAACAATCGTATCTTCCTACACAGCTCAAGCGGTGATAGTCTAGCTAGTAAAATCCAAAGGCTTGAACTTTAATCGCCCAACATTAACATATATCGCAAAAGGTATCGAGTTGTCCATCCATACTTCAAACAAACGTAAAACCTTCACAAAAGCCCTCATGTTTCTACTCCAACAAAAGTTCCCTCAGCCCAAAACACAAAGTCAGCGCAAGCCAGCAAAAAAGGGGAGGGAAAAGGTGCAAAACCTTGATTAAGCAACTTTTGTGCAGTTTCATTAGGGTCCATATTGGACTCCTTAAGCGCCATATAGATGTCAGCATCAGAGAAATTCCCCACAATCTCTTTAATCGACTGTATCGTTTTCCTCACTCTAGCGGACATAATCTGCGCCGCCGGCAGCGGTTGCGGTTGCGGCTGAGTCAAACTACTGGAAGATGCAGCAACGGCAGTAGAACCCACCATCTCTCAGAAACAACTGAAACGAAGAAAGCCGCCACCGACCCAGTAATCCTAGGAACAGGAACCGAAGCCCCGCCCCGCGAAAAAGCGCCGAAACAGGGAGGAGGGAAAGGTGGGTTCGATTGTATGAGGATGGGGGTTCAGTTGTCAAAAGGGGTAGAAGGGATTGGTTGGAACTTAGGGTTATAGATGGTGGGAGAAGAAAAAGGGAACGGCTTTGCGGTTGGGAAGAAGAAGAAGAAGAGGGGGGAGAAGAGGAAGAGTGGGAGTTTGGGAGAAGCTAGCAAGCGAGGGTTTTGAAAACGTTTTGCCCTCCCGCACACTGACACTGGAAACCAATCACTCGCGCTCTGAATTTGGGCCTTTGACGAAAATGACGGATTTAGCCCTCGTTTATCCTTTTTGATGGTCATCTAATTTTTGTTATCTTTTTATTAAGGGTAAATCTATAAGATATATGAAGCCAAAACAAGTGTTTAGTTTGCAGGGATTCAAATTTCTAGCCCGTAGAGGGTTTGTCAGAAGGGCACTATAGGCAATTCACACTTAAATAAAGCTGTGCGTTTCACCTCCAACACTTTCTGCGGGTGGACCTGGCCAGTTTATTATATAGTCGGACCGGGCTGTTGCCCCCTGAAGTATCCGGCCCAAACTCTTCCCCCTTGACGTAGTCGGCCCAAAGACTGCTGGTGAAATGCATCCATCGAAATCTCTCGGAACCCATATTCAGCTGCCGTGGCAGTCCATGCCGTGTTAATTTCTTTCTCCATATCGATTTCGGTCTCAAGCCCTGCACTTCAATACTACATATGCAATTGTGAGGGACGCGTGGGCGGTGGGAGTTGCTACTCCTCCAATTGAATTCCCCAACTCCTCCTGGCGTATTTTGCAGGGTTCATGCGAGCTATATTCAACCCGCCAAAACCTCCTTCCAATCAACAAACCGCTAAGTAAACCTTTATTTTTGATCAATTAGAGCTTGCTGGTTCATGCTTAAGTGTGATTGCAATCAAGATAATGTCTGGAAATCAACAAACTGGTGGAACCTCTTCAGTGCAAACCAGTGCTCCCAACCGTCGCAATTCAAAGGGCAAATGTAATTTGATTTCTTTGGTTTTTTCCATGTTCCGCTGGTATTGTACGTATTCAAAATGGACACCACATATACCTGCTGACTTAATTTTGTCGTATTTTGCAGGGTTCATGCGAGCTATATTCAACCCGCCAAAACCTCCTTCCAATAAACAAACCGCTGCTGAAAGGGATCGTCTTAAGCAACATAGTTCCGCGATTCATTTTTTGGTTCATTAAATTAAAGTTTACTTTGGCACAAAAGCAGAATAATTTGATTTGTATATTTCAATTGCAGAAATACTCACCCTTCAATCACAAGTTGAGCATATTGATCGCTTGATAGCTAAATTCTATCGAAAACGACGACGGGAGATCTTGAACGCGCGCTTGCGACGTACTGTTCAATATATTCCACATGGTAAGCTTAGCATCTTTTAAACGCTTTTATTATGCATACCATAGTCCATATGTGCATTGCGTTGTATATGTCGCGGAGCAGGATTCCACGTCGTCCTAATGGATTTAGTTCATGCATAATTAACTTTGTTACCACAGATTATAGTTCATGTATCTCCAACCTTCGGACAAAAAGGGCACGTTTAATGCGAGCGATTCATTTGTACAAAAGGCGGATGGTTAATGCTGTACCGAGGGGGTTCTCCCGTTCCCATGGTTTGTGGCATCATATTTTATATTTGTATATTGTAAATACGGATGCATCATGTGTGAGTGATCTTATGTGACTACTTTGATTGTAGGATATCCTGTTGTTGAACTTTTTAGTCTCGGCGAGCCTACAAGCATTTGTCAATACTGTGCAGCAATTATGTGGGTGCAAGAAAGTACGGTTCCTACTAGGAGTCGTGTTAATCCCACTTTCTCATTGTGTTGCAAGGCTGGAAAGGTAAAACTACCCCCTAGACGTGCTCCACCAGAGTTTTTGAATGAATTGTTACATTCTTCTACACCTATGAGCCGTCATTTCCGGGAAGCCATTCGTAGATACAATGCTGTGTTTTGCTTTATCTCCCTGGGCGGGAAAGTGGATCGTGGTATAAATGATGGTCGAGGGGTGTATGTGTACTCTATAGGAGGACAAATTTATCACTCTATAGGCAGCTTACTACCTGCAGACGGTCAGCCACCGAGGTTTGCCCAATTATACATTCATGACTCAAGTTCTGAACTACAGAGTCGTTTGCATCTATTTCCAGTTGATGATGCCTCCAGTTCGTTGCGACCAGATATTGTTGAACGCTTGCAAGAAATGTTTGATAGAAACAATGTTCTGGTTCAAACCTTTCGGATGGCTAGGAAAAAGATACAGGAAGGCAATGTGAAAGAGGTGAAGATCAAATTAATTGCCAAGCGTGCTCATGATGGGAGAGAATATGATTTACCGACGGGGAATGACATAGCAGCCTTGATTGTTGATGAAACAGGGCAAGATACATTTGAGCCAGATATTATTGTTCAGTACAAGAGTTCTGAATTGGAGAGAATTAATTATTATCATCCATCATTAATGGCTTTACAATACCCAATTTTATTTCCTTATGGAGAGGATGGATGGCATCCGGACATAAGCTGTGATGATGATGATGATGATAATCTTTGGAATGACAAGACACTGTCCCAGTGTGATTATTATGCATACCGCCTACAGAGTAGATTTCAGGAGTCAAATTCGGTTTTATTATCTGGGAAATTATTTCAGCAGTATGTTGTGAATGCGTATGCATTAGTAGAGGCACAACGGCTTGATTGGATCCGAAATAACCAAACAAAACTTCGTTCCCATTATCTGAGTGGGTTAGTGGATGCATTCCTCCGTGGTGATTCTGATTTAGAAATGACTGGAAAACATGTTATTTTGGCTGCTTCCCACACAGGAAGTCCACGGTACAAGTATGAAAACTTCCAGGATGCTATGGCTATTTGTAGGTGGTTGGGCTACCCAGATTTATTTATTACCTTCACCTGTAATGCAAATTGGCCGGAAATCCAGTTTATGGTTGATTTGGTAACCGCAGATGGTCGGAAAGATGTCAATAGATCTGATATTATTGCTCGGGTCTTCAAGCTTAAACTGCAGCAATTAATGTTTGAGATAAGAGATAAGAAAATATTTGGGACTACCACTGGATGTAAGTCGTACATGCTCCATAAGTGTTATTTTAGTTTTGAGCAATACTTTTGTTTCATATGGTTGAATTATTTTATGCAGGTTGTCCTTTACATAATAAGGTTTTGGCAGGCTCCAACTTAATACATATTGTATTTGTTTGCAGTTGTGCTGGCAATTGAGTTTCAAAAGCGTGGCCTTCCCTATGCTCATTTGCTGGTCTTCCTAGCTTCGGAATGTAAACTAACTGGGCCGACGGCCATTGATTCCGTCATATCCGCAGAAATTCCAAACTCTGATATTGATCCAGAAGGCTATAGGGCTGTAACTGCTTTTATGCTGCATGGTCCATGTGGTCTTTTGGGCCGTAATGCTCCTTGCACAGAAGGTGGTGTGTGTACTAAACATTTTCCAAAGCCGTTTTGTGAGCAAACGACGATTGACGATAATGGGTTTGCCAAATATCGACGACGTGACAGTGGAATATCTTTTAAAGTTAACTCTGTGTCATTGGACAATCGTTTTGTCGTGCCGTACAATCGCTATTTATTATTGCGATTTGATGCACATATAAATGTTGAGTTCTGCAATAAATCCAGGTATCTTTTCATACCACATATAATATTTATGCTCGACGCTACTTTTTTATTCCCTTCCATGGAAAGTGCCAAATTTGGTAGCTTTTGGTGTGTTTTTTTTATTGGTTTAAACGTATCAGTTTGGTTGTTGCATTAGTACTCATTAGTTTTGTTGTGTCCAATTTTTGTTTGACATGGTAGGGCAATCAAATATTTGTTCAAGTATATCAACAAACCACAAGATCGAGCAAAAGCTTCATTAGTTGACAATGAAACTAATACTGGAATTGAATCTGGTGCATCAAGTTCAAATCCCACACCACGGGTTGATGAGATAAAAGCATATCTTGATTGTCGGTATATCACATCTGGTGAAGCATGCTGGAGGTTGTTCAAGTTTGATGTCTACTCACAGTACCCATCAGTGTTGCGCATGTCTTATCATCTTCCTGGGCAGAATGTAGTTGTCTCAAGGCAGCATTCAAATCCTCAAGGTGTGCTCCAGTCTAAGCGTGCTCAAACCTCTATGCTGTTGGAATGGATGAAAATGAATAAGTTATTTCCAGAAGCAAGGAAATATACATTTGTAGAATTTCCGCAACATTATGTTTGGGATAAAACAAAACAGGCGTGGCACAAGAGGAAATCCATGTTCAGTATTGGGCGGTTGTATTATTGTCATCCTTCGCCTACAAATGATAGGTTCTATCTGCGTATGCTTCTACATATTGTTCGTGGTGCTCAAAGTTTTGAGGACATCAGGACAGTGAATGGAGTTTTGCATAAATCTTTTAAGGAAGCATGTTATGCGCATGGTCTATTGGCAGAAGATAATGAATGGAATGACTGTTTGGCCGAAGCGGCTCTTTGGGCATCCGGTAAAAAGCTTATAACTTTATTTGTTACTATCATCAGCCTCTGTCAAGTTTCAGACATTGGGAAACTATGGGAGCAGAATTGGGCACTGTTATCTGATGATATTTTGTATGCCCGTCGGAAGGAACTAAATATGCCTACTTTAGAAATGTCTGATCTCCAGTTACAGGAATGTTGTTTACTGGAGATAGATAAATTGCTTGCAAGAAATTGCAAAACTCTATCTGATTTTCCTGGATTACCAGTTATCGATACTGGTAACATGTCATCTTCATCTAATCGATTGATCACTGCAGAACTTAATTACAATGTTGCAAGTCTTCGTGAGCAATTTGACGGTATGATTTCCAAGCTCAATGCCCAACAAAAAAAAGCTTTTGACGAAATTACTGAATCGGTGTATGCAGATAAGGGAAATGCATTCTTTATTGATGGATGTGGTGGGACAGGAAAGACCTTCTTATGGAAAGTCATTTGCTTGAAATTGCGATCGGAAAATAAGATTGTTCTATGTGTAGCTTCTTCTGGGATTGCAGCCCTTTTAATGGATGGGGGTCAAACAGCTCATTCTCGATTTCACATTCCAGTAGACCTTGATGGTAGATCGACATGTCATATTGACCAGGGTAGTGAATTAGCAGAGCTCATTCAGCGTGCTTCATTGATTATTTGGGATGAAGTTGTTATGTCACACAAGCATGCAGTGGAAGCTGTAGATAAATCATTGCGGGATATTTTGCGGTTTCGGTATGAAAACAGTCAGGGTAAGCCATTTGGAGGTCTTACAGTTGTTTTTGGAGGAGATTTCCGGCAAACTTTGCCTATAGTATTGAAAGCTTCACGAGGTGATATTGTGAACTCATCTATAAAGAGGTCTTACCTGTGGCCCCATTTGAGGGTAATTAAGTTAGTTGAAAATATGCGGCTAGCACGATCTAATTGCTCTCCGGAGGAAACTGTTGAGATCACTACTTTCCAGAACTGGCTCTTGCAAGTAGGAGACGGAGTAGATTCAGATGTGTTTGGTGAGTCTTTGATTCGCATACCTCAGGAATTAGTAATTCCTCGACAGAGTGATCCTGTCATTGATATTGTCGCCTCTATATACAGTGATCTTAGTAGTCATGCAGGAGATCATAATTATTTAGTCAATCGAGCTATCTTGGCTCCACACCATGATATGGTTTCTGCAGTGAATGAGTATATTCTAAGTCAATTCCCAGGAGATGTAGTGGCATATTACAGCGCAGATTCTATTGAGATGGACCCTGGGAAGGAGGGAGTTGTGGATGCTGATTATTCAACCGAGTTTTTGAACAACCTCAGGATTGGAAACTTTCCAGACCATCAGTTGGAACTAAAAGTTGGGTGTCCAGTCATTCTATTACGGAATATGGATCAAACTGTTGGCCTTTGTAATGGTACTAGAATGGTTGTGAAGACTTTGGGTAAATGGTTCATTGAGGTGGAGATTTTGACAGGTACCAACATCGGTGATCGCGTCTTCCTTCCCAGATTGACATTATCAACCCATTACAAGAGTCTTAATTTCACCCTCATTAGAAGGCAATACCCCGTGGCTCTTTGTTTTGCCATGACTATTAACAAAAGTCAGGGTCAAACACTAGCCAATGTTGGTTTATGTCTTCAAAGACAAGTTTTTAGTCATGGTCAGCTATATGTTGCATTGTCAAGAGTTACTACAAGGCAAGGATTGAAGATTTTGAGTGGCAATGAGAATGGAGAGGAAGACACTTCAATGGTGAACATAGTATTCCCAGAAATATTTGATTGATTTATATGAACTTCAATTCAGGTTTAACTTATGATTCCAACGTTTGTCAAATGCGCCGCTTATGGTTAGTTTACCCGCCCAACGGGCCGGGCCCTGCGCTAGTACAATTTAATATCAAAACCTTTCATTTTAAACAATATAATAGCCAAACCTTTTCGAAAACAATCTAATATCCAAATCGTCAACTTTCCGTTCGTTTGACCGTTAGTTGACACTTCAAAAAAGCTTTGTTTAGGTGAAATTGTCACAATACAACTTTGTTTCTTGTTTTGGCATTGCAGATGACTGAATATTTAGATATTCTATACCATCATGGTGGAGTCATGGACTTCTCGGGTTTGAAACTACGATATGTTGGTGGTTTTTCAGAGAAGATATCGATGGATATTGATGAAGTGTCGTACTTCAAACTTTTTGAAGTGTCAACTAACGGTCAAACAGACAGAAAGTTGACGATTTGGATATTAGATTGTTTTCTAAAAGGTTTGGTTATTATATTGTTTAAAATAAAAGGTTTGGATATTAAATTGTATTTACCCTTTTATTAACACTATGTTTGGCAACAAGGGAGGTGCAAGTTCGAGGGGTGCAAGTTGAGGGGTAAATTGTTGGGAGTGCAACTTGGTGGAGGGTGTAAGTAGAGGGGTAAATTGTTGTTTGGATGAAAAAGTAGGGGGGTGCAAATAGAGTAAAAAGTAAGTAATTATATTATTATAAAATAGATTTATCAATTTATAAAATATGATCACAAAATAATAACATGAAAATTCAATATATAATAATAATAAATAGTAAATAAAAATAATTTTAATAAAAATAATTATTATATAATAATGCTCAAATATAATTATTTATAACAACAACAATAATCATTGGTCGAGCAACCTTGAAACTCGAAATCCAACTCGTAACTGGTCATCCTAAGGGGGTTCTCGTGCCTAACTTTAAATTGAATATGGTCAAACTTAGTCAAACACGTTCGAATCTGTAAGTTTTAACTACTTATTAAAGTAAATCGAGTTAACTAAACTATTCCTCTCTATCTTTTCAACAAACATTTCTTATCTCTAATTTTCAATACAAATTCGGGTCAACTAAGAGATATCGATTTGACTAGGCGAACATTGACAAACTTGCTCTCTGAGTCAAACGGTCAACCCCAAACAAATTCTACACTAATATAGATATAAGAAAAAATTAATAATATTAATTATTATGTAATTATAATCTAATTAAAAATTCATAATTCCCCTCCTCCCCCTTCCCCCTCCCTTCCTTCCTTCCCTTGCACCCCAATTTGGGGGTAAGCCGAAACAGTGAATTTACGCTCACGTTTTGCACCCCCTACTATTACAAAATAACCAAACGGGGGTAAACACCTTGGAACTTGTGTTTACCCCCCAAACTTGCACCCCCCTTCCATTTACACCCCTTCCCAAACATAGTCTTTTGAAGAATCTTCCCAATAGCGGACTATCGATAAATTTTAATTTTTAATTTAATAATATCGAAGTATCATTTCAACGTGATTATTGCATCAATCACGTTCATTAAGTTGTGACTTGGTAAGTATTTTCTTTCCAAAAGTTTAAATTCACAAGTCAGCTAGTTCTACTTCTACAATGTATTTGTGTTTAACCTATCTACTAATGAGTTATGTTGTAGTTATATTGTAAGAGATAAGTGTTCAAGTTTAATGCATTCTTTGTAAGTACTTATTCAACTTGTTTTTTTTAACTATTCAATCGGTGTTGGTGTGTCTGAAGGCGTTTGATGGAATGCCAACATGGAGAACCACCAAGTTATTATGAGATATATTTGATGACTAAGTTGTTACTCATAGAGATATCAACTTTGACTCTACCTACTTATGCAATTTGACCTAGTTTTTTTTTATTAGGTATGGCACAATCCAAAAATTTCCAAGTATGTCTATTGCTAATGATGCTATTTTTGACTCAATCGACCTACCTTGACTTATAACGATCATGTATTGAGATGATATCACTCAATACGTCGACAATGCATGCTAAGATAATTTTCTTGTCCCTCAACTCATTCTAAGTATAATTCTGTCAAACATATGGCCATTTTCCCGCTATTTCTACTTTTTTAAACCATTTTATTATTTGAGATAAGTAGTCTTTGTTTTCTAATGCCAAGTTGCCAACCTCTACTTGTTAAGTTAAGCCATCTTCTCCCTTTTAACTTGCCAACCTCTTTCTTAGCCTGCCAAATATGCTCTATGAAGCAACACACTAGAGGGAGGGAAAAAAAGCAACCAGTCTTGTTACTTTACATCCAAGAAACAAAAAGGAGAAAACATATTAGTCTGAAACTTATGAAGCCTGAGGTTATGAACACAACTACATCCGCTAAATGGTCACTCTTAACCCATCAACACATTTTCATGGACACTCCATAGGGTAAATGGAGGGAAAAGAAACAGCAAACACAGCATGTCATGAAGAAATTGGCTCTTCTACACCCTAACCAGAGCCAGACTCCAATATTTATGGTGCGATTCTGAGGCCCTGCAAGCAAGGTTGGTTCTGAACAGGATAACAAAACACTTTGCTCTCGGCAGTCTCACTTCTGATTATATTCTCGGGAAAAGATTTTACACTTTTGAGGTTAATGTATTGTTTGTCATCAACTGTGAATGTTGTTAGATCTTTGTGTCCAACGAGTGTCACAAATACTGTTCTTGTATCCTGGCTTTGTTCTCTTCCCACCACACTCTTGTTTGCATTTCTCCAAACATTTCTCGACTGCAGAAAAACATCATGGAAGAAAATTTCGTAATATGTCAGCCACGATCGTGGAGATTATTCATCATACACAGCCGGAATCGAAAATAATCATCACTAAACTTATGGAGTTCAATCCAAGTTGTCCATATAAGTGTGTCAACACCAAATTAATACTAATAGGATTCCCTTTGATTAGCTACCGCATAGGGAAGGGAGGGATTAGGGTGATTTCCGCTAATACGAAACACTTACAACTTGATGACCGATTGTGTAAATTGACCCAAGACTTGTTGGAAGGAAGTGAGAAACAACTAACCTGAACCTGATGCGCCTAAGTTCTCGATTGCCATCAGTTAGTGCTCTGATAGTAATGTACACTCCAGGTTCATCCTGTTCAACCCATTCAGATCCACTTTCACTTGCATTACTCGGGGAGAGCTCGCCTGAATGCTCTTCGGCCTCTCTTGATGAACTCGTCCTGGCAGATCAGCCATCGATGGATGATGCTTCTGCTGTCATCCCAGAAAACTTTGGTGTTGAAGCAAAACCAGCTGGGGTATCATAGTACTGGTGGGATTGCATTTCTCGATGGTGCTTGATTGAGTCTACTGATGAAATGTAGCTCGTCCCCTTTGGACGATGTGAGTTGCTGGGGGCTCGTTCTTTGCCTAGTGGTGGAGTCATGAGGCTTTCTTTTGCAGATTTAGGATTTGGGTTCTAGCAAACATTGGTTCAATAGGTTAGAATGAAATTAAATGTTTTATAACATGAATGAAACTTAGCATTTGCAGACATTAGAGTTCGAAGTTTAAGCCAATTGATAGCATACTCACCTCGTCCTCTGGTCTTGGTGGAGTTGGAAGTGGGACGGCTTCCTGATCGAATCGTTGAACGTTGTATAGTCCCATCACCTTCTCGTAGTTCTCTGCCCACCATCTTTGAGCTTGCGATTTGTTGAACATTTCACAGTTGTTCACAAAATCAAGATACACTGATTAGGTAGGATTCAAATCATCTAGATGGTGAAGGGGATCATGCCACATATGTCCACCATCTGCCCATAGAACATTGAAGAAGTAACTACAAGGAAAATATGCATGAACTCATGTAGAATCATGGCTAGCTAGTAAATGAAACTATAAGGAAGACCAGAAAACTGAATATACTGAGCCTGAATGGAAAGATTTAAAGTTTACAATCCATCGATTTACATTGTCCTTTATCTAGCGTGTTCATATGGTTCCCTCGGGAGCCGACTCTTGAATACTAATCATCATTTATGCCATGTTATTGACCAGCTCTTCCAATTAGCCGACCATACCTCTTCAATGGAATGTTCATTCATATTAAATAGACAAAGGAGTAGTTCCAGATCAAGATGACAAAGAACCAACCGTTCAAGCCTTTGTCACACACAAGCACAAGTCCAGGTTGGGTAAACCTTGAGGCTAACGATAAAGGACAAACCAAAAGCACTCTGAATGGCCAGTTTTCAGCTGAAAATGAAACATTCAAACTGCAAAAGTACTGGCAAGAAACAAAAAAGGGCAGTGGTACCTAAATCCCATTGAACACACCAAACAATTCCATCTATCCCATGCCATTTCCTTGATGGGTTGCCTTACTTTTTACTGCCACCAGAAAGATGACAAACAATCTCTCCTTTTGCAGGACATCAAAATTCCTAAGCCGTATTCGAAAATTGGGTGAGGAAAAAAGGAAGTGTCCCCAATCTAATCAAACAGTTTAGCTGTTAAGCTCCAATAAGATGGTAATCATATGATGAAAAAAAGACTCTTCTTTTCACTGTTGTGATTTCAGAAAAGCTGTAAAGCCACGTTGGTGGAAGGGCTAAAGTAAAGGTTGTGCTCACCATATTTAGGGGACAATGCGATCATCATATCATATTACAAAATAAAAAAGTAAGAGGTTATGCATATAAAATGAAGTTGCAGTTCACTTTAGAACAAACTAATGACAACGGATCATGGCAATCTGTTCTTTCGACAATGATCAATTCCATATACCATGAGCAAAACCCAACTCCTCAAATGAGAATTTTAAGAGTGAGAGAGAGAGAGAGAGAGAGAGAGGTGAAAAAGGACAATCTCAAAAAGAGTGACCACTTGCAGTCCAGAAGACAAGTGACCAAACAAGACTGGAGAATAAATCAGAAAGCTCACAATCATGCCAACAAAAGCAAGCAAACAAGAAATTTACATGAAACTAGTAGCAAGTACCTGAATCGAATTCTCTTGAGATCATTCCCACCTTCAGGCAACGAAACGAACGTGATGAGCACACCAGGCTCCACTTGTGCAACCCATTCTTTAGGCTCATCTTCCTCCGCGAACACCACGGATTCCGTCCTCCCACTCCCTGGCGCTGGAGTTCCTTCACCACTCGACATCCCTTTCAGCCTTGCCTCCATCTCTTTCCCCCAAATCCTTGGCGTAGAATTGGAACTACCTGCAGCAGCAGCCGCCCTACGGTATGAACCGTGGAACCTAGCTGAATCTGAGGCAGCATCAGAGTCAACATAGTTCCCATTCTGTTGCTTATTGTTTGATGAACCTGAACATGGCTTGCAGTTTTTATAAGCTCCTGATGCCTTTACCGCCATGTCTTTTATCTGCAATGAGGTGGAAAGAAGGTACTATGTAATTATTTCATACAACTGAAAGGGAATCTGGGAGATGAACCCGTCAAGCATTACCAAAGGTGTAAATTTTCTTCTGCCAATGTAATATAGAATCATCAAACACAGTAAATTCCCCAATTTCATTGTTGGGTAGCAAATTCAAATGGACAAATGAGAACAAAAAAGGCCAAAAGAGGTTGACAATTTCAGCAGCAAGAAAGACAAAAAGCGCAGAGATTGATTGATCCCTTCCTTCCACCTTTTTTTTCATTTCTCTCTCGGAGGCATTCTATCAGTAACCAAGCAAGCATAGATTTCCCACTAAGAAAAAGCAAAGATACAGTACCTGAGCGGTGAGATTCTTAATGGCCAGCCTCGTCCTGGGCGTCTCCGTAGTATAATCGTCGTCGAGACCATTCACATCCATTTCCCTTCTCTGTGGTAGAGATCCATTGTCGCCGCCGACGTTAAGCTGCTTGGTACATTCTATACACTTCAACATCCTTCTCCTTCTTACGCTATCCTATCGCCCTCTTCTACAGCCAATAAAAGAACAGATCAGAACGCCCCCCATTAGCAGGAACAAGCTACATAGAAGAACCCACCAGCCCAAATACGCAGTAGATGCAGTGATTCTTACGGGACCTGGAATCAGAGACGGGGGACCGAAAAGTGAAGTCTTTCTAATTGGGATTTCGACTCAAAAAGAGATCTTATATGGCACTGAGAGAAACAGAGCAAGATAGAGAGAATGTAGAGTATTAAATGTCCTGTGCAGTGTAATAGAGAGAAAGAGAGTAGTGACCGTTAACCATGGAAATGGACAGACACCGAGAGAAGAGAGAGAGAGAGAGAGATTTGAGGCGAACTGGGTAACTGGGTATCAGTGGAAATGAGAGAGATTGGAGGGGAATTTATATCCCAATAATTAAAAAGGGAACATTTTTAAATGCATATCTTTTTCACATTAACAGAGCAATTTAGAATTTTGAGTAGCAACTAAGAATGAGCCAGAGAGGAAACAAACAGAGGATGAAAGCCAGTATTTTAAATGTGAAAAGGGGGCCGAACTCCACCATCTTTGCCCGCATTGATCTTTGCTCGCATTTCACTGCCGAAGTGGAGAAGCGGGAAGTAGAAAAGAAAAAGCTGAAAGCTTGGAGTTATTAGGAGAGTGGAGTGGCAGGGGAACTTTCTTCTTCTGCTGCTGCTTTTTCCTTTCCCTCCTCTCTTTTTGTGTGTTTTAATCGTGTGTTGCTGTCTCGGAGTCGGGAGGCCTCTGTTTATGATGGCGAAAGTGAAATGGGGATTGGCTGCAGAGTGGGGCGGGAGGCGGGGACGACACTAGGAGAGTAGGGATGCAATTTGAACTACCCTTCGAATATTACTCGATCTAGTTCGCTATAGTGTGGGACGGAGTATGGATATCTTCTTCTTAGTCGCTCTGTTCCGTCTTATTTTTGACTCATTAAATCTCAATTTTTTACAATATCTATTCATATTTGTATTTTGACTTTTTCTTCAACTAGTTAGACTCAATTATTCATTCTATTATCACTATTTTTCATTTATAAAGCGATTTCCCTTAGTTTTATCATAAAAAGTAAAGTTTTGCGTATATTGTTTTTAAATAACATGTAATAATTGGTCGACTCGTCCCGTCTCGTCTCGTACTTGCTCTGGTATTACCCACAAGCAGTGGTGGCCTCATGGAGAGAGTGAACCGGCAGGGTTTTCTCTTTCTTGGATTGGGAATCAACTTTAATATATAAACAAACACATGGCGTTATATGATTGAATGAGAGTATCATATCGCAAATCCTACGTGATACTTCCGGTGTATCTCCTTCATTTTTCTTGTCTGCATTGTACTTAGTGGAGCTAGCAAAGGTGCACTTGCTGCTGCCTTATTTGTTAATTTCTGTTTATAATTGGCCATAATGATATTAACGATGGCTTATGGTCAATACTCAATATCACATATTTTCTATAACTAACAAGGCTACAACTACAAGAAAACATATGAAATGTAGTTTATTGTATTATTGAGGTCTAAGGTGCTAAAGTAATTCATGAAAAAACCTTAGTTTATAAGAACATTGGAAAGACATATCTATGATTGTGTCACGTGAATTATGGATTCGTGTTTCTTTAGCTTACTGGCAACTTCAGATGCAAAATAATAAATAAAGCATAAGAGAAAGGAGCTTTAGCCATAAGGAGAATGCATAGTTTTTTTTATATCATAGTCAGATGAAATAGTAGATAGATATGTTTACAAAAGGTAAAAGTAACGACAGTCGATACTAATTGATCTGTCGATAAAAGAGTCTTTTATGCCACTAAATGGGCAGCTCTGTTAGTTCCCTAAGAAAAAGTGACAAAAACACACTTAAAATCACTAAAAGGATATAATCTTGACGATACAACTCCACCACCCTTCGAGCTAGCTGCCACAACATCGACTTTCTTTGCATGAATTTCAATTCCTTTATAAGCAGCCACCAAACGCATAGCCATCCTTCCTATGAATAGCTGCTTGAGAAACGTCTAGTATTTTGCCAAAAGCCAAAGCAGCTTCGCCTGCAACAAAACAAAAGAACAAAGAACCCAGCCCAAGTTCCAAAAGCAAAACAAAGAGCCTAGCTAAACAATATAGGTCCACACGACAAAACCCCAGATCCTAGTTGCTGTTTATTGGTCCAAGCATACAAACCTGCAAAATGAAACTACAACAACCCAAGAAATAAGACATATATGATTACAATTGGATCAAAGCCATAGACGGTAGTCAAACGAGTGTCGAACTACCGATGAAAGGGCTTGTTTTGCCACTAAATGGGCAGCCTTGTTAAACCTAAGGAGAATGCATAGTTTGCCAGTAGTTAAAGTATTTGATTTTACATGAAAGAAGTATTTGACAATATTCACTCTACAATAAATTTGAATTTTGGGATCAACAATTATTTAAAAATAATATAAGTATGAATTTTCTTTAAATACATCCTTTTAACTAAAACAAAGAAAGAGCACATAATTGATTATAGAGTCATTTGGAGAATTTAAATCTAGGAATCGTTTGGTTTCGGTGATAGTTTGGTTGGGATTTTTTTTTTTGACAAACCTTTGGTTGGGAAAGTTACAAACTTACAATGCATGCAATGTCCACAATGCATTGTTTTTTTTTTGAATTTTCTGCACAAACAATACATGTCATCAATGCATGTAATATGCATGTATATAAGAAAATTGGTGTATTGTAAATTTTCTTTAAATACATCCTTTTAACTAAAACAAAGAAAGAGCACATAATTGATTATAGAGTCATTTGGAGAATTTAAATCTAGGGATCGTTTGGTTTTGGTGATAGTTTGGTTGGGAAAGTTTTTTTTTTTTTTTTTACAAACCTTTGGTTGGGAAAGTTACAAACTTACAATGCATGCAATGTCCACAATGCATCGTTTTTTTTTTATTTTCTGCACAAACAATACATGTCATCCATGCATATTTGTAATATGCATGTATATAAGAAAATTGGTGTATTGTAGTTTACATCGTTTGGTTTTTGTGATAGTTATTGTAGTATTTAGACAAGTTATATTACTTTTTGGATGAAATGTCACTTATACCTTTTGCTTTTAATATAAAAAAGTAACACACATGAAAAAGGTAGGGACATAGTTGGAAGAAAAAATAACCCAACAATATCCACCAAACAATCTCAGCAATCTCACAAAAAACTTGAGATTTAACTATCACTCATTTTGAGTAATAGTTTGTGTCAAATCAAGCAAACAATGCATGTATTGTTTGTGCAAAAAAATTAAAAAAAAAACAATGCATTGTGAACAATACATGCATTGTAACTATCTTCATCAAACAATCACCAAAACCAAACGTCCCCAAAAATTGAGTCTCAAATCCTCCAAGTTCTTGGTCTTCGTGGCTGAAAGTTCCACTCCAGCAGCTATTTTTGGGATTCCATCAGTCACAACCCCCCAGTACTCCTTGGATCTCAAGAGATTCTCCATAAGCAAGCTCCAGTGGTCCTAGTCCCCATCAAATTTGGGCAGACCAACCTGAGAAAAATTTGCATTCTCACTCATTTTTCAGCCTCACACAACACTCTCGTGTTTCCCAATACCCAGATTTGTATGCAAACAACAGATTCTTCTCACACCACTAAGATTTGTTCTCTCAATAAGAAATGGTTACATCTTGCTTTGTGCTCTGATACCAAATGTGGAAACACACTTGAATGCAATCTGACGAGATTTATTGATGGTCCACTGAAAAATATAAACATGGTGATGTTGCTAGCCCCAATCACGGACCGCAATTAACAACCTTAACTCTAGCTAACACTACTAACTACCTGAGCTACAAGCTCTCAACGACTACTTCAACTAACTGAGACTCAATTATACTTTTTTCTTCAATAGAAAGTTATAGGCATCTGTCTTCTGCTTTCGGGTCTGGAAGCTTCGACCCAGAATTGCACTAACATAAACTGAAGGACTAACACAGACATACTGCAAATGGTGCACTTTTTTCTTCAAACCAAATGACATAGTATCACTAGACAGATTTTCAACTTGCAACTTTGGCGCCAAACTCCAATCCTGATGCTACTAGGACTTCTTCTTCTAACAATTACCACTAGACACATCCCCAAGGTTGTCAAACCGGTTTAAGTCATTGAGCCGGTCAAGCAAGGGGATTGAGGTTTAAAGGTCTGATCGGGGTCCGGCCGGTTTGAGCCGTTTTAGACGTTTTCTAAATATATATACAAATAAAGTAGTAATTAAAAATTTAATGAGTGAAATAAAATTTATCTTACATATATCTATTAAAAATTTATTTTCAACAAAATAAATCTACCTAACCTCCATGATCCACCTATCATTTCCCTTTCTTTGTTCCTTTTCCTCTCTTCCGCCTCTCTTCTTCTCCCTGTTTAGGGGGCAGACCGGGGGGTTTTCTGTAGGCCGTTTTGAAGCCCGATTCGGGTCGAACCGGGTCAAACCGGGGGGGGGGGGGGGGGGGGGTTCGATAGGGGTTTAACAACCTTGCACATCCCACTAGACACATCCCTTGTGCAGTTTGTAGGAGTTGTTTAGTTCTTAATATGTCATAATTTAGCTCAAGTCACAATTACGATTCATTGATTACATATGGACTATGACCACGAAGTACCTGTAACTGTAAGACACTATTGAAGTTCAATGAAATCTCACAAGTTTTTGTCTAAAAATATGTACTAAAGCTTTTGATGTAAGAGGCTACTAGGACTTCTTCTTCTAACAATTACCAGTAGACACATCCCTTGTGCAGTTTGTAGGAGTTGTTTAGTTCTTAATATGTCGTAATTTAGCTCAAGTCACAATTACCATTCATTGATTACATATGGACTATGACCACGAAGTACCTGTAAGACACTATTGAAGTTCAATGAAATCTCACAAGTTTTTGTCTAAAAATATGTACTAAAGCTTTTGATGTAAGAGGCTCTTCTCCATTTTTATAAATTATATTTTTAAACTCTCTCTAACTTTATTTTTGTGTTTTCCACATCACAATACTGATGCTAATCGTCAGATTGTAGATAACGGGGACTACCTCGTCCTTTCACTGATTCGATCCTGTGTTCATGACATAAATAAATTCTGTAAAAAATTATATATGAAAAATTGATTCGACAAATTTAGTGATACTATATTTGATGACTGGATTGAGAAAATATCATGAACAAATTCGTAATAAAGTGGTAATGAAATACTAAGAACTTATGTATAATAATATTGTAATGCGTGATTCAATCTATGTTATCTTCTAGTACCATGTAGTTTTTGTAAAGAGTGATTAAGACACATTCCTACTCCTTGTTTTTTTTTTATGTGAAGAAAGTTTGATTTAATCCTCCTTAACAATGAGCAAGTATATCATATTGATTATTAACTAAATTGCTTAATTAAAACAAAGCACACTAGTCAATGACGAAAGAAAACGATAAGAATTCAACAGAACCCAAAGTGATTATGATCTTGCCCCAGGAAAGGTTTAAGAGATTAGCTAGGTAGGTTGCAATGCTTTCATGTTTTTTTTTATTTTATTTAGTACAATTTAGGTGGGATTTGGGCACAATCCTGTGGGGTCATTTGGATCCAGATTTTTAATTTGTGGGATTTTGGCTCAAATCACTGGTTTAAAAATCCAGGTTTTTAATCTGTGGAATTTGTGTGGGATTTTAAAATAGCTGATCACCATCAGCTATTTCATAATCCCACAATTGTGAGTTTCTGAAATCTCTAATATTTAAAATCTCTTATCATATAATTGCTTTTCAAACGAGTGATTTTAATAAAATCTCACATTATGTAGGATTGTGCCCAAATCCCACACCCAAAACCTGCATCCAAATGACCCCACAAAGTCTCAGTTTATTGATAAAACTGACATATTGTTTTTTAGTTTATAGATATGATAACAAAATCAATTTTCTTAACTACTTTGGATGCAAGTTAAGATGAATGGAAGAATTGCCAAACAAGGACACCAGGGTCTGGCTAATGTTATTTCATTCATAACGACATGAAAAAATTATAGGGTTTATCTAATCACGTGCTTTTAAGGTTCACACCCTTTTATTCGTAAATTGTTTGTAGGCTATTAACCATGAGCATGCATGTGTTAAGCACGAGACTTTAAACAACAACATCATTTAGATATCATTGTATGACTCATCTTTCAACCAAATTAAGCAAATCTCATGCGAAATTCATTAGTCATCATCGTCTTTGTTACCTCAGTAAGACACATACTCCATTCTTACCCACTTCCACTTCCACTTCCACCATCACCATCACCATCACATAGAGATCTACTACTATCACCATTGTTCAGGCTCTCCTCCTCCTCAAAATCCCCATAAAAGATATATTGTGTTCTCGAGTTGACGATGGTGTGAAAAATGAGTTGAGGGACTTGTAAACAAAAGGGTAATTTATGAGTGGAATCATTGTAAAAGGGCTTACTAAATTTATTTTAGCAATTGAAGCCTATATCATTAACTTTGAATAGTATGAGGAGTTTACTTGTCTAAAAGATTAGTAGAGGGGCTTGTTAAGACACTTTTGGAGTTTTTCAGCTTAAAAAAGTAGTAGAGGAAACAAAACCAACAAGAGCAATGAAGACTGAATAGAATGGTGTTGGACTGTTGGCAGTGGTGGGAAAATGGGGATGGAGTTGAGAACCTAGAGAGAGAAGCAAACATGCATACAGAGAAAAGAGAGAGAAAGGAAGGAGCTATTCGTTTCATTTGCCCTATACCCATTAGAGATTGAGAAACACAGACTGAGAAAGTGAGCTTCTTTCCTCTAATCTTACAGAGCAGAAGAACGAGAAAGAGAAAGCATAGCAAGGAAAGATATTTCTCTCTTCCGTGGGCAAGATGACGATGAAGGAGAGAAGAAAGGGAGCTCAATAAAGAAAGGGTATCACCAGCTGTAACCGCTGCTTCCTTCTTTCTTCTTGGGTTAGTGTCTTCTCATGGTGGCTGTTTTGTTGGTTAGTGTGGTTCCTTATTAGCCTGGAGACAAGTCAGTAGCCCATCCGGGACTTTTTTTCTCATTTTAAATTGAGTTTACATTCCAATGTTTGATATCTCTAGCGTCTTTAGGTGGAGCTTTCAATGGCGGGTTCTTTCATTTTATTATTAGCTGTTGCTGTTTGTGAGCTATCGCCAACCAATTTCTCATAATTCCCGACAAGTTTGTGATATCTGGGTTCTGCATGCAAGGTATTTGATGGAATGGGTCAATGGAAGGTTTTAGTCACAGGGCGACGAAACCCAGAGTTAACTTTTACAAATCGTCTTCTTTCTAATTGGGTTTCTGGTTTTACTACTGATTCAATCTTCTTGCTTTCTTCCTCTGAATCTCTGATTGCTTGTTTGTGGGTTGTTCTAATAGGAACTCTGACTTGCTGGATATAGTGATTTACGCAAAAGGGATTCTGAGCTCCTAATTAACCTCCATAGTTCAGGTGAGTTTCCTCTAATTGCAGTTTGGAACACTTGAACTTCCGATTTAAGGATTTCCCCCGTTGTTGATTGTCAATTTTTTTTCTTTTTGTTGATTGTCAATTTTGATGTTGAGTGTTCATGTTTGTTTAGCTGAATTGGAGTTTTTGAACATGGGAGTTCAGCAACACCATTTCTATGGCACCAAGCCACTGACTTTTCAATTTCAAGACCATGATTCATGCTCAAGTCAGTCCACTGGGCAATCATACCCTGAAGTTGGAAACATGGGAAAAGGTAAGACACAGCAACATTGTGGTGTGCTTTTACGGAAAATTGACACTAAACTGTTATCGGAGAACCGAACTGGGGTTAAACTTCTTTGTTTGTGATTTCTTAGCAACTGATGAAGCTTGTGGGAAGCCAGTGGGTGGTGGTCAAACTACTAAACTATATTCAAATATGGGGCCTCAGGAGTTCATTTACCCTGCTTCTCAAGCTGACTGTGGCCAGTCTGTTGTAAGTTCATACTTGATTGTGCTTTGTAGTTTAAGATATTGGATAATACATTCTTATATTATCGTGGTCACTATCTCAGGCACGTACTCCAGTCGCTTATGCTGAACCATATTATGGGGGCATCCTAGCTGCTTATTCACCAACGGTAAGTGATTCTGTGGAATCTGGTCGTTTACATGCTTGTCTTGTTTGTTTGACAGATTGACTGCAATCAAATTAAAAATGGTGAAAAGAGTCATACAAATGCTATTGAAACCTTATCTGTTAACCTGAAAGTGGTTTGCAGAACTTCATTACCAATCTGAATCCTTATTGTGGCTGTGGTCACCTTAGTCATAACATGTCACCTGAAAACGTATGTAGACTATTTCACTATCCCTGGAAACTCTATAGCTGTAATGTAGTTTATCCCATCTTTGGTTAGAGAAGAATCATGCCTAGCAAACGCGATTCTTCAGTGTGAAACGTGTCAAAGCTCTAGGGGCCAAATTAGCATAGATCCAGCTATGTACTTGGGCGATAAACTACAGTATAAACTTCTTCTTTTGCAAGGAATTTATGCAAAATGATTATATAAATGGTAAAAAGCAGGTTATTCCAATATGTGATTCTGGTCCCCCTCTCTATAAATTGTAGCTGGCATCTGTATTAAAGGTTAAACCACATTGCAGTCATACTTGTTGTCACCACGCAGAGCTGTATTAGACCAAACTGCAACCATACTTTTGACCTTTTGCTATCCTCTTTAACTTCACTATTAATCAATGATTTGGCCGCAGATCCATCACTCGCAAGTATTTGGAACGGGGCCAACTCGAATGCCCCTTCCTCTCGATCTGACTGAAGACGAACCCATTTTCGTTAATGCCAAACAGTACAATGCGATCCTCAGGAGGAGGCGCTATCGTGCCAAGCTCGAAGCTCAGAACCGGCTCGCCAAAAATCGCAAGGTAAATGCAAACTTTGTGATTGTGCTCAAATTCAGTAACTGAAATGGAGGCTAAAGCTATAAGGCTGCCACTCTCTGAAAGTGCAGATGCAGAATAGAAGAAGAAAAAGCTAGGATGTTTCATTTTGTAGTTAATCATGATCTGGAACTAGTTTTTTTTTATTCCTCTACAGCCGTATCTGCACGAGTCGAGGCATCTTCATGCAATGAGGAGAGCTAGGGGCACTGGCGGGCGTTTCCTCAACAAGAAAACACCAGATGAAGATTCTTCAAGGCACGAGCTCACAGGATACCGTCAGCTTCAATCATGTGGTAACTACTCGGAGTCCTCCGAAGTTCATCAGCTGGAGAAACGTCGAGATGGTTGTGCCTCGACCACCTCTTGCTCAGATGTCACCTCCAACAACGACGATGATGTGGCATTCCACCAGCAAGAGTTCAGGTTCTCCGGATACCTGGTGTCGTCGTCTCACGTTAATGGGACTATTCAAGGGCATCACGTCCACTGAGAGAGAGAGAGTGTGTGTGATCATCTCCTCTCCTCTCTCCCTTCTTGGGGCTCATTGCCCTCTGGGAAGTCATCCTTGGCTCAGTTTGTTTCTGCGTAATTCGAATTCGTTTTGCTTGCTTGTCGAAGAAGTTATTGATATGCTTTAAATGCCTTAAATCTTCAGAACTTGATGGGCATCGTGCTTTGAGTTTTGCTTTTGTGCCAAAAACGCTTATATGGATTGAGTAATTGATTGTGAACTGAATCCAACTTTGTTTTGGGTGTTTCTTCTTGTGATCTCCTTCGTCCCTTACCGGAATATGTGGCCGGCGGGAAGTTGTTCATCGCACTTCTCGATATTTTGCTGGATTATGTATGCGGTTAAACGTAAAATGTAGAAAATAATCAAATTCAATTAAGAATGTGACTTTAATATGATCCGAGAATTAATTTCATCCCATCTATAAACGTTTCAATTGAGAATTGACAGCAGTATTTTCAATGCACAAAATTTACTTTAATTTAAGTATTTTCAGTGCAAAATTATCAAATGTAAAATGATTTTTTTTTTTTGGTATGAAATGTAAAAAGAATTTAATCTCTACATAAACCAAATTTTTGGTCCATTCAGTTATGAACACTCCGTAAAATTAGTTTTTATCAGTTTTTACTTTTTTCCCACTACTGTTACTAGTTAGGTGCCCGGCCTTTGGCCGGGTCTAATGTGTCACGATTTGTTGAGTTTTGTTTTGTTTTTTTTTTTTTTTTTTTGTTGAACCGAAGTGTTTGCATGTTCTTTATTGCTCTTATGAGGAAACAATTGGTATTAGATTTATGTATGTTATTTATAAGCTAATGTGTTAAACATATAAGCAGTTATAGTTATTGACATGAAATTCTACGTAAAGCAATGTATGTAAATATATAAAGGTTGCATTGGTTGGAGATGTTTGGTAGCCGGTGGCATCATAGCACACTATGGCAAGTGATTATGGTACTGTCACCCTATTCTATTAGAATCAAAGTACGCTTTGGCTTCTTGTAACTCAATGCATCAAGTCTTGACCATTTTCAAGGCTCTAGTGGTAGAGTTCTGGTTAGTTTTTTAGGTTAGTTTTCTATGTTGTGGCAGTGTCAGTGTTTTTTGGACTTTGGAGGTTTGGGGCTCGTGGACATAATCTTGATGTTGTCTTCATGATCTTTGATGCTCTGCAAAATAGATTCAAGTCACTTAAGTTCCAAAATTTCATGTACAAACTGGAAATAAAGATATACATGCAAATGTTCCCTTGCTTTCCCTTGCAGTTGTGGTCTTGTGGATATCCCTGGCTTTCTCCTCAGAGTACTTGTGTTTATTGCTACTGGGAAGAGTGTATAGCCAGTCTATGAAAGTTATAATTCATAGCAGAAACAACAAAACATCTCATCGAGCAGTCTACAAAGATGGAAATAAAGGTTTACCTGTGAATATAATCATCCCTTGCTTTCCCTTCTCAACTCAAGTAGTGCAGTTGTGGATTATCCCTAGCTTTCTCCTCCTCGAGTACTTCAGTTTATTGCTAGTGGAAAGAGGGTACCACTCTATGCAAGTTATATATAACTCACAGCAGCAGAACAACAATCTCATCGAACAGTATCCCCTAGAAACTCAAAGTGGTACTGATTTTGTGCGCGTCCTATGCATTTGTGGATCAACTTGTTGTGTGTAAGTCTGTCCATTTGTCTCCAGATGCAATGGGGATCAGTCAATATTGTCTTGTCATATCTGGGAAAGTGAGCAAGGAATTAAAGCAGCAATGTAACAGGAGCCGTGAAGCCATGCAAGTAAGAGAAGCAACAAAAAAACCAAAAAGGAACCCTCAATTTTCAAGCGATTACAAAACTTAACGGCAAGAAGAAAGTCCATCCCACAAATTTGACAACATCGAATACCAGATTGGAACTATCAAAAGCCAAACAATGTACTCAAACGTCCCGCCTTCCTCTCATCAAATCAGACCCAAAATCTAAGATTCAAGGCCTAGAAACACCCAAGCAAAAGAACAGGAAACCCATCTCAATTGAAAATTGAAGTCGAAAGAAACATAGGAAGACACCTCCTTCTTGACGAAGATCAAGAGGGCAGTTTGACGGGCTACCGTGGCGCCTTGCCTTGCAGGAGGAAGAGGGAGATGGACGTCGAAGAAGGTGGGGTTGGGGACTTGGAGGGAGATGCCGTTGCAGGAGGCAGAATTCACTCTCCATAGTATGGGGCAGGCGGGTGGCGGGGGGCTTTTACGGTGACGAATTCTGGCGGATGGAGGACACAAAGCGGCGGAAGAAACGACGGTTTCTCTGCGTGGAACAGTTTCTTTATAGTCTGACGTGGATAGCCTCAAATTACAGCGAGGAGTACGTGGCAGTGGCTTAAATCTAAAAGCCCTTTAATATATTTTAAGATTTTACCCAAATCCCCCAATTTCTTCATCCCCGTAATCGACTAACCGGCCGTTGCGTCTCTCCAACTCCGACGATCGCCGCCGAGCTTTCTTACAGGGTCAGTGAGCTTGCATTGCCGGAAAGGATTTCGGAATTTCTAAAGGATCCGTCTTCATTGCCGGTCTGCCTTCGTTCCCCTTCCGTTTCTCTGTCTTCCGTTTCCGATTTTGATGGTCCCTTCCACCACCGTCGACGTCCGGCTTGCTGTATTTCTCCGATGAGAGTTTCCTTTTCTCGTTACAATGGCGTGCATGAAACTGGGATCGAAATCTGAGGCCTTCCACCGTGATGGCCATACCTGGTGCGTCTCTCTCATTTCTCTCCTTCTATGGTGACGGCAGCTGGAATATTGATCGTCAATTTCCCATTTTTAGGATGTGGGTTTTCATTGTCGGAATTCAGATTCAGCAATTCCAACCCCATTGATGATTCCTTATTGAGTGGAAGTTTTCATTTCCGCCTTGAACTTTACTCACTTGGCTTGTGTTTTTTTCAGATCCCCCCAACAAGTTTTACTCAAATAAAACCTTGCAATTCTTCTGTTACTCCTCTGCAGGTTCTGCTCATCTGGGCTGCAAAGTGATTGCATAGTTGAAGTCGGGGAATCATCGTTCCATCTCCACAAGGTGTGTTCTTCTCACCGCGTCTCTTAACCTTGCTTTTATGTCCTGAGCAGCATAATGGCTTATTCCTTGGTTGCAGAGTAGTGTTCTTATCTGAGCATTCATTGCCTGTTCATTATCTGCAAATGTAAAGTAAAAATTCTTGATCTTTTCTCAATCTACGAGGACCATAGACGTAACTGTTGTGCCTCCGTAGAATTGTCATAGACAACTTGTCAGGATTCTGTCAAGCTTCAGGATGGTTATGCAGAGTGTACTTTTAAGTTTGTTTTTGTTAGTTTCTCAACTTTCTCCTTATGTTGCCAGTTCCCACTGCTCACCAGAAGCAAACTACTAGAAGATCTCATAGCAGAACAATCAACCAACAATGGAACCACTTGCATCCTGCAGCTTGACGATCTCCCAGGTGGAACAAACAGCTTCCTGCTGGTGGCTAAGTTCTGCTATGGTGTCCGAATTGAGCTTGATGCACTGAACATTGTCCGCCTTCGATGTGCAGCAGAATACCTTGGCATGACCGAAGAATATGGCGAAGGAAACCTCATATCACAGACAGAAAATTTCCTGAATGAGGTCTTCAACCACTGGACAGACTCTCTTCAGGCTCTAGAAACTTGTGAAGAAGTTTTTCCACTAGCAGAAGAGATCCACATTGTCTCGAGATGCATCCGCTCGATAGCAATGAAAGCTTGTGCTGACCCGTGTCTGTTTAGCTGGCCAATGTCAGCGCGCAGCAGAGATGCTACTCGGAGCCCTGAGGAAGGGAACGTCTTCTGGAATGGGATATGGATTTCGGGGAAGTCGAATACGGTGGGTGATGATTGGTGGTACGAGGATGTCTCTTTCCTTACACTGCCACTCTACAAGAGGCTGATTCAGGAGGTGATCTCAAACGGTATGAAACCCGAGAAGGTGGCTGGCGCCCTTATGTGTTATGCTAGGAGGTACTTGCCTTTGCTCGGTCGACAGTCGAGCTTTCAGAATGTGAAGCAGGATGCACTTGGTTCGACTATTAAGACGACTCCACAGGCGGATCAAAGAAATCTGCTTGAAGAGATTGTGGAGCTTTTGCCTGATCAGAAGGGCATTGCTCCGACTAAGTTTCTGCTCCGGCTGTTAAGGACGGCGATTCTGCTCCATGCTGGGCCATCGTGCAAAGAGAATTTGGAGAAGAGGATTGGAGCTCAGTTGGACCAGGCGGGTTTGGAAGATCTCCTGATACCAAATGTGGGTTACTCGAGCGAGACGCTGTATGATATCGATTGTGTTCTGAGGATGCTTGATCATTTCATGATGGTGGACCGCGATGATCCTCCTCCGACCAATTTCGTGCTGGATGAGGGTCAGCTTCTTGGTGGTGATGGTGGTGCGTCGCAGTCGTTTGCTCCAGTGACATTGGTGGCAAACCTTATTGATAATTTTCTTGCGGAGGTTGCTTCTGATGTCAACTTCAGGCTGGCCAAGTTCCAGTCGCTGGCTGCACTAATTCCTGATTATGCCAGGCGAATCGACGATGGAATCTATCGCGCAATTGATATCTACCTTAAGGTAGACAAGTGCATTCTTGCTCAAGTTGTTTCTTTTGTGTTGAGATGTTAAGTAAGATCAACCAACATGATTTTTCTCTCTATATATGTTCGCCTTTCAGGCTCATCCATGGCTGACAGATTCCGAGAGGGAGCTCCTCTGCAGGCTAATGAACTGCCAGAAGCTCTCCCTCGAAGCAAGCACTCACGCAGCACAGAACGAGAGGCTCCCCCTCCGCGTCATAGTCCAAGTCTTGTTCTTCGAACAGCTCAGGCTACGAACCTCGGTGGCAGGGTGGTTCTACGTCTCAGACAACCTGGACAACTCGCAGAACCCCAGCGGGAACCTGGCATTGATGAGGAACGATGACGGGATACAAGAACACAGGGAAGAAGTCGAGGTGAGGGAGAGAATCGTCGAGCTGGAAAAGGAATGCATGAGCATGAAGCAGGAGATAGAGAAGCTGATGAAGAACAAGGGGAGCTGGAACATGTTACTGAGGAAGTTGGGGTTTGGCAGAACGAAGAAGCCAAATGGAGATCAGAAACCCAGAAACGGAAAGGAAACTTCGACCATGGAAGATTCCACGGCGCCATTGATGAACGGTGGAGTTGTGGATGACGGTGGTGATCGGAATAATGGGAAATCAGGGAGGTTGAGTTGATTTTGAAGATGTATAAGGAAATGGTGATAGAATTCTATTTTCTCTTTCTTTTTGCTGGCATGAAATAATAGTCATTCATTTTCTGTCATTACTGTTTTCCGTTACCGAAAATTTTCTAACTGGAGGAGTGTTTTCCACTTTTGCTAGATTGGGTTTAAGTGTTTAACCTAATGGTGTAAATTATTGTTAATGATGTTGGAAGGACTAAGGGAAACTATAAATTTTATTTTTTAATTTTCTTACATATGGTTCCTTTATCTCCTTTAGATGAATGAATTAGAGGGACCGAGTAATGCTTGGACTGAATCCAGTCAAATCAAATATGGAATACTTCAATTTTGATTTCATAAATTTTTAGTAATTGAGAAGAAGAAAAAAAAAGATGGAATTGACATCTAAACCATAGCAAAAAAAAACCCAATCTAGCAAAAGAATCCCCGGGTGATTATGAATGAAAGGTAGGGTGCAGTTGAATCCATTTAATAAAAAAAAACCATAGCAAAAGAAACCAAATGCATTTTCCATTTATCATTCTCAATATTCCCATAAAAAAAATCATTCTTACATATTTCTATAGCAAATTTATGGTTGGTATCCCCTATACAAGAGCTCAAACAATATACACACGTATTGGTTTGAGATGATGTATACCTTTTTGAATTTTGACAATGCATCTTGGGGCTCATGTCTTCCAAGTTTCAATAGTAACATATTGTTCCATGTCTAAAATATGGAAGAATCAGGTGTTTTCACGACTCTACCACCCAATCAATTCTGTCTACTCTTTGGTTTTCTTCTTGCACATCTTCTTGCTAAACATGTTGTGGTTCTTCATCAGGCGGCTGTGATGATCCTTCTCTGGAATGAGCTCTCTTCGCACACAATTTGAATCTTACCATCGTGCAACGTCCGTGAAAGACAATTATAGAATATATCTAGCATGTACACATCCCAAACTAATATCCATAATGCACAGAATAATATCCCCAGTCACAGATTTGAAATCGTTACATCATAGTACTTGTATTCAGCCAATATATCCAACTGGTATCATGGTTAAGAAAAAGTGTATCCTAAGCTAGTTAAATGATCTTTAGCATGTATTGCACTAGTATTAACGAAATAATATCCACATTCAACAAATTGTATCTCGATGTCACCAACTAGCCCACTTACTCCCTCCCGCTGATGGGAACACCCACTAACATCCCTATTCAGTCTTTGTCTTTCTCTCCAGGTGAAAAGAACAAGACGTACCAGAGAAGAAGGAGCATTATAAGGAGAAGGAGCATAGCAGCGATTAATGCATATGGGGAACAATCCGGTGAGGGAGAGTCAACCACACCAAAGGAAGCGGCGGCGAGCCTCAAGCCACCTCACCAAGAATGAGACTAATCAGTTGGAATTGTAGGGGGTTTGGCCAACCCCTTACAAGAAGCTATTGCGGCAGATTTTGTCGAAAGTATGGCCCTTCAATGATTTTCTTGATGGAGACTAAGAAGGATAACTCCTTTCTAGAAGACCAAAAGAGATTGTTGAAGTTTGAACACTCGGACTATGTGAGCCCAGCAGTTGAAGGCAGCGGACTGGCGCTGTGGTGGAAGGATGATGTTCAAGTTAGTGTGTTAGAGTCATGTAAATCTTTTATGGATGTTAAGGTGTGTAGGGAAGGGGTTAGTTTCTTTTGCACTTTCGTCCATGCTCCTACCACGGTGGTAGAGAGACGGGCTCTCTGGGAAAGAATTACTGCACTTAGAGAGAACCAGGATGAAAAGTGGTTGCTTGTTGGTGATTTCAATGTTGCTTTGTATCCGTCGGAGAAAGAAGGAAGATGCCCCATCCGTAATGAAAACGTCAACCCCTTCAAGTACTTCATCGAGCAAAATGCCCTCATTGATCTTGGCTTCTTTGGCCACCCTCTAACCTGGACCAACAAACAACAAGGGGAGAGACTGATCAGAGAACGTTTGGACCGAGGATTGTGCTCTCCTGCCTGGAGGGTGGAGTTTGATGCAGCGGCGGTGTTCCATGAAGAATTCGTTGAGTCAGATCACTGTCCAATCAGGGTTGATCTGAATCCTAAAATGGCTAGGAGGAACATCCCCTTCAGGTTCGACAAGAGATGGAACAATAATGAGGTCTGTGTTGAGCTGGTTCAGGAATTGTGGAATGCAGGGGAGCCGATTTACAAGACCCTTATTGACTGCAAAGAGAAACTCTCTGCCTGGGCAAAAATGGACAGAACGACGAAGTTCCTCAGAGAGAATGAGATTAAATACAGGCTCCAGCAGCTTCAAGGACCACACCGCACTCCCTCGATGAAAATGGAAGAGGAGGCTCTACATCTTGAACTACAAATGGTTTGGAAGGAGGAGGAAGAATTATGGGCACAGAGATCCAGAAACTCGTGGCTACAAGAAGTAGATCAGAACACTGGCTTCTTCCATGCTTCCACAGTCAAAAGGAAAAATGCAAATAGAATTAACAAAATCAAGACAGCCCAGAATGTTTGGATTGACGACAAACAGGAAGTTGAAAATCACATTAACTCCTTTTATCAGTGTTTGTTTACCACAAGAGGAGGTACCTTTGACCCCGGATTACTCGATGGGTTCCCCCAGATTGTAACAAGTGAAGATAACACCCTGCTAACGGCACCGTTTTCTAATGATGAAATCCGGAAGGCAGTGTTCCAACTCGGAGCAAATAAAGCCCCAGGACCTGATGGGTTCCCGGGTTACTTCTTCCGCAAGTTTTGGCTATCTTTGGGTAACAGGCTGTGTGATGAAATTCGTGACTTCTTCAGGACCAATAAGATGGCCGAAGGGTGGAATGACACCTTTATTACCCTCATCCCCAAAATTGACAATCCGGACAAGATTGGACAATACAGGCCTATCAGTTGCTGCAATTTCAGGTATAAAGTGATCACAAAAATCATGACGACCAGACTCCAGCCTTTCCTCCCCACTCTGGTCAATGATTTACAGGCTGCCTTTACCGGAGGAAGACTCATTCAAGACAACATTATTATTGTGCACGAAGTACTAAATCATTTCAAGAAACATAAGACAAGAAAGCGAAAGGACATGATGCTGAAGTTAGATATGAAGAAAGCGTATGATCTGGTCGAGTGGGATTTCCTGATTGAGCTTCTTCGCGCTTATGGGTTCAATGAAGAATGGTGTGGATGGGTCAAAGAGTGCATTAGTCCTGTTCGGTTCCAGATCCTGATTAATGGAGAGCCCTCCTCTGTCTTCTCACCGTCTCGAGGGATTCGGCAAGGAGACCCCTTATCGCCACTACTGTTCATCTTAATGTCGAACGCACTCTCTTTCCTCATTGAAAAAGCAGCTTCCTGTAAGGCAATCAGAGGACTGAAGCTCAACCGAAACTGCCCTAATCTCACTCATTGCCTTTTTGCGGATGATACAGTTATTTTTGGAGAAGCATCAATTGCGGAAGCGGATAGTATTCTGGAAATTATTCAAAAGTATGGGGCGATTACGGGGCAAGAAATTAACAAGGAGAAGTCGTCCACCTTCTTCAGCAGTAATGTTAGCCTGGAGGAACAAGAAAGCATCATTACAAACATTGGCTTTGCGGACACGAACTGCCACTCCAAATATCTTGGAGTACCCACTGAATGGGGAAGATCGAAGGTCGAAACGTTCAGATTTCTCCTCCAACGGATGGAAGGGAAAAGTGAATCTTGGAAAAGCTTACTGTTATCCCCTGGTGGGAAGGAAACACTGCTAAAAGCAGTTTTTCAGGCCATCCCCTCTTATATTATGAGCCTCTTCATGCTTCCCAAACGTTCAACAAATAAGATGGACTCGATGCTCAGGAGGTTTTTCTGGGGAGGGTCTTCTCTCAAGAAGACCATTCATTGGAAAGAAGGCAAGGTCCTTTATGCACCCAAAGTGGAGGGAGGACTTGGCTTCCGACCCTTCCACGAGTTTAACTTGGCCCTGCTGGCCAAGCAATGCTGGAGAATTCTCAACAATCCAAATGCCATCTGGGTCAAACTCCTCAAAGGTCTCTACTTCCCCTCGACTGACTTCTGCTCGGCCAAAAAGGGTGGGAAAGCCTCTTGGATTTGGTCCAGTCTCTGGGAGGCCAAATCATGGATGGAACAAGGTCTGATCCGGTTAATTGGAAATGGGAAAACAACTAGAGCCTTCCAAGATCCATGGCTGTTTGAGCGACCTGGCACTCTCCTTCAGGTCCCTTCTTCTTTCCCGGGTACGGTTGATGCATGGATTGATGAAATTAACAGAGTCTGGAGGTTTGATCTGCTGAGGGAGTTCCTTCCACAGCAAGTCCTGCAGCAAATTGCGGGCACGCCTATTGGTCCAGCCTCTACGGAAGACTACTGGGCATGGCGATTGACTGATAAGGGTAACTTCACAGTCAAATCTGCTTTTCACTTCTTTCACAACTTGAACCGAGGCACCCAAGGACAACCCCAAGCGATAGTAGCACCAAACAAAGATGCTTGGAAATGGATATGGAGCCTCTCTCTCCCCCCCAAGATGAAGTTTTTCATGTGGAGATGCTGCCGAGGGGCACTGGCTTCAAAAGAAAATCTCCACTCCAGAAAATGCTCACCGACTAAGGTATGCCCGCTTTGTAATGCGCCAGTGGAGACTATCTTCCACTGTCTTTTTGAGTGCCCACATGCTGCTGAAGGATGGAGAGCAGAATGGCCTTCCCTTCCGATGCCCGCGCAGACCACGTGCATCCTGCAGTGGATCTTCTCTCTCGGTCAGCACTACTCACCCCAGAATATCCAAAAAATCATCTACCTTCTTTGGCATACTTGGAGAGCAAGGAATGAATGCATCTTCAAGTGCAAGGCTCTTTGGCCACCATCCACTATCGCAAGTGCACAAAGAAGCTTCCATCAGTGGGATAGTTGTCCTTCGAAAAGACAACTCATTCCTCTCCCTTCTCAGACTGATTCACCCCCGGAGTCTACTTCACCACCGCCAGGTACTCATAACTTTGAGATACACTGTGATGGATCGTTCATACACGATTCCCAGGAGGCGGCTTATGGCATAGTTGTTACTAATGCACATGGTCAGGTATGTGATGGGAAAGCTGAGATCCTACATTGCTATTCATTGCTAGAGGCAGAAGCTAGGGCGCTCTTGGAAGGAGCTCGGGTTGCGGCCTCACTTGGAGTATACCTTGCCTGGTCAGGACTGACTGTCTCGATCTGGTCAAGGCATGTGCTACGTCTGAGGATGGCATTCCTTGGAGAGCTGCCCCCTGGATTGGTTTGATCAAACAACTGTGTGGTTGGAATCCAGGGATCCGTATTACCTTTGTCAGCAGGAAGTTTAACATCAAAGCCGATTGGGTTGCCAGGTCCTGTGCTAGGAACCACTTCCCCCGGATTGGGTCAATGTTCTTGATATTATTTCAATCCTGCTGTAACTCGCACTTTGTCACTAGCAATGAAAAGTTTTGTCCTACTGTCAAAAAAAAATATATCTTTAAAATTATTATTATAAGTGAAAATTGTGATTTTGAAAGCGTATTTTGCCTTAATAAATTATCTCCAACTATAAGACAAGAATGACTGTGCATGCCATCAGCCCATCAGAGAGAGATAATAATAGACAGAGGCATAACTAAAACAAAAGAAATAAAAGGGCAAGCAATGGCACGATATTTAAGGCAGCCTGCACTGCTTGCTCCATTTTTTACCAGACAAACAAACAACACCCTTATTCAATTGAATAGTCTCTTATCTAACAGAGTAGTCAAACGGGTTTGACCATAGCTCTTTTGACTTTTACATTACCTGACGTATTCCCTTTCACAGTTACCTATATGATCTAGCCTAGAGCACTAGTCATAATACTACTAGGGCTCCCTTTGTGAATATTAATTTGATCTTGCAACCATGCGAGTAACTACCAAAGAATAATTCTTCTTATAATGATATCCGGTTCGAATCGAACTGGATTGCAAACTCAAACCACAGTCAAGTAGTGGCAAATTCAGTGAAATCTTCAATTTAAAAAAGCAAAATATAAAATAGCGTCGTGTAGCCCATGCAAAGGTGGTCACTCACCATTATTCTGAACGAGATGTAAAGGGCTGTGCATGCAATATGGTTGGTTCATTGTTTTGTCTTGTCTTCTCCGTGTATTATTTTCTGAAAACAATTCCACACGACAGATAGAAAAAGGCCAAGAATCTCTGAAAACCACTAGCAAAAATACATATCATATTCAATTCCCTCGTACTATATATAATATAACAACAATATATATATTATAAACGGCCTTCAAAAAGCATCAATGATTCAGTACCAAAATGAAGCCCTAAGCATCGATAATATAATCTTAAAAATAAAAAACACTATATATCATCATATATAGAGCTAGCTAAAACATGATTCCAAATCAATTCGTCACTATCATCCTCGTATATCCTCCTTTGCCCTAACTACCATTTGACCTAAAGGTTCTTATAAACCTTTCATTGCTGATTCCACAAAGTGAACATTGGAGCTTGATGGTGATTACGGTTCTGATGATCATGATCAGCCAAATCTAAGCACCTCGCGCCATTATTAGCAGCCAGCTCAGCGGCGGCGGCTGCCACATCACTTTGCTGACAAGGATGGCCAGATGATGTACTACTACTCGATCCGTTGTGATGATTCCATGCCGCCACATCGGCGGCTTGCAACTCCTCCGACGAGCTCCTCGAGTTGTAGTCCTCCAATGCCATTAACGGTGGACCGGTGGTGGTCGGAGGAGGAGGAGGAGAAGCACGTTTGGCAAGATCTCCGGCGATCAATGTGGAGCTAGAGCAGATTCTCTTCACGTCGTACCTACTTATGTCGAAATTGGTGACGGCGCTCGTCCCTCTGAATTTGATTGCCGCTATGTCGTATGCCTCGGCCGCTTCCTCTTGGGTACCTATTAACAAGGTCGACAGAGATCAGGTTTGTGAAACTCTATGAAAGGTTGGAGCTTGATTATTGCCCATAGAAGCACTCACAAAAGGGTATCTAGAAAACGTAAGGTAATTACAAATATATTATGTGTTTCTTCATTAAGGTTTAAGCAAATGTTATTATTTTGGGAACATTTGTAAGTGTGAATTGATGGGAATGTTATTGTTGCATAGTGAAAGTAAGATTTCGATCCATTAAAGAAAACGGTATCTTGACTTGAAGTATTAAAAGACAAAATATTTGAAATCTAAATTGAGTGGAATATTAAGAGACAATGGAAAAAAAAGTTCCTGATTCATACCCATTAAAGAAGTCACACTGAGCAGAATGTTGATATATAGTGCATGAGAATAAGATCTTGATTCATTACCATTGCAAACACTAACAGAAGGGGATCTAGAAGTATAAGGAACAACTGTTTTGGAACATTCTAGCTTGTAAGTGCAAGATGAGTGAAATTTTATTGGATAATGAAAAGGATATTCTGATTCTTACCCATTAAAGTACTCACAAAAGGGTATCCTAAAAACACAATGGACAAAAGATTTTTCACCATCTTGAGTTATGTAGTTGCAAAATTTTGTGGAGCTAATGGATATAAAATGAAGACTAATTATTAAGACCAAAGTAGTTAAAATCCCGATTTAAATCCTAAAATCTTATGATTTTACTTACCTATTCCGATTTTGATTTCACTATAAAATCTATGAACCTTAAAATTCTACACTATTCACGATTTAAATCCTTAAAATATATAAAATCTTACGATTTTACGATTCGAATCTTAAAGTCAATTTTACTTATTTCCTCCAGAATTTTCAAAATTACGCCTCTTTTCCTTCTCATCCACCAACATCATCTAGTTCTCTCACTCTAACCACCATCGACCATCATCAATTCACATCAAAGTATTGATCATCATCGAATCACCACCTCTTAACATTAACCTTGAGAAATTAGAACATTAACCTTGAGAAATTATCATTGTAAATGTTATGTGTTTTTGTGTTAGTCGTGATTTTCTTTCTTATTATTATTTCGTCTTCATTTTTATATGCACTTTAAAATCCTACTATTTTACAATTCCGATTTTACCCACATTTTCGATTTTACGTAAAATCCTGATTTTGACGGCTTTGATTAAGACAACATAAGAGAAAGAAGGCCTACTAAATGTGCCGAGGTACAAGTCTTTGTTCCCAGCAACCCTTCCGATTCTAGCTTGCCATCGGCCATGTTGATGGTGCCTGCAGTTGGGAGGCAAAACCAAAAAGTGAAGAACAAAAATATTTAGCAAATAAAAGGAGAAGGCAAAAAGAAAAGACATCAATATGTTGTACTTGTACAAACAGCCCTTCAATTTGTTGGATGACTAATTGACCATCATCCCTCTGGGTAAAAATGTGATCTTTTAAGTTTCACCCTGTGCTGGCTTTTGTTCTATGGTTTTTTCATGATAGGCACATCACATGGGAGAAGAATAACAGGGTTTTGTGTGTATAGATGATAAGGAAAAACAAGCCTGCTGAATAAAGGAGACAACAAAAGAAATGAACTCTTTTTGCAGAGGTAAGGTTAATAATGGAGGTGGGAAACCATGCAAGATTGCAGCTTTTATCATTCACCAAAGAGAGGTTGCTTTCTTTTCTTCTCTTTTGCTGGTCTAGTTTTATAAATAGGGTGGATAGGTAGTGCACATTACCTTGTCACTCCTCTGTACATTGACGCTCCTCTTGAGAAACCACTGCTTTTCCTGTAAAAATTAAACAAAACAAGTACTGCATCAACATATGAACTAATCCAGCTAGCATGCTAATGAGATCGGGTTAGCATGGATCGACACCATCAGATATTACGTTGCTCACGATCTCGATGTTTGATGCATGTTAGGGTTACGTTATTTCTAACAATATCGCTGCAAGTATCGAGAGACAGACATTACGAAACCACTTGATCCGATAGTATCAATCCGCACTATCCCCAACCCCTATCAACATGCTAACAGAACTCCATGCAATATAATGATACACTTTTCAAGTAATTGGAATTCTTGGAAACATTGGAACTACATTCAATCATATTAGCCATGATTTGCTTTTCTTCCATCCAAAGGGTTGAGTGTGGGAAAAAGGGTATATGACATGTACCTTCTCAAATTAGCAACAAATTCTTGCCTAGTCATGTGCTTCATCTCCTCTAGCTCCTTCTCATAAATGCTCAACTAGTTTAAATCAAGTGAAGCCACAAATAAGCAAAATGGTAACATTCTTTGAATTAATGAATTAATGAATCAAGTGAAATGTCTCAAACAAAAACTTACTGGGAAATTAATATGAGTAGTAGGACCCCAATACTTTAAGGCAGCCAAGTCATAGGCTCTTGCTGCCTTCTCTTCCTTGTCATAACCACCTAATAATGATTATGATAATCAACATTAATTTAACAAGAATAATACCACTAAAATAGGGGGAAAAACACTCTTTATTTAGATTCACTTACCAAGATAAACTGTTGACAGATTTGATGCAAGAGAGATTCAAAGTAAGCAACCCCACCACAATGACAAGAAACACAACAAGTCATCAGTATATTCCTTTCGGGAAGAACAAAGGATACATCAATAAAAATATATGATCATAAATAATAAAAAAAGATGTTAACTCAGTTTGTCGAATCCTATTCGTACCGAATTGATTAACTAGTGGGTTCACGATCGGACTTAATGTGATCGATCGGTACCATATATAGCTAGTATCACAGACTGTTACGATTATTGAATTAACTAGTTAGTTAATTGTACTCTTCCAATTACTACTATTGCTCCATAAATGAAATGTCATATTCGCTAATGGGTCCTCGCGAATGGTATATTGAAATCGAACCTATCAGCTAACCGGCTCAAATTTTGGATAACAGTTCGGCCAACACGATCGGTACGATACGGTATCACGAACGGTTACGATTTATTAACTCAAGTAATTAGTTAATCACTTTAAATTATTGTACCTTGCCTTCCTTTCCTAGTTTGACCTTCCTTCCTGCAACTGTTGTCCCACAAATGCGCCTCATATCTCCCAGTCCATCTATGCCTTCACCAATCCAAAAATTAAACACAAAAAATTAAACAATAATATATAACCAAACAAAATGCAAAATTAACAGATTAGTTTATAAACACAGTTAGTTAATTAATTACCTGGTGACACCTCGGAACTGAGAAGTCCTTTGCCCAAAAGTACTATCAACATACTTCCCACCTCCACCCCTCTTACCACTTTTACCGTCACCGTTACTATTACCCTTCCCGTGAAGGATAAGATTGTTGTTGTTGTTTTGTTGCTGCTGCTGACCAGCGGCCGCCATCATTAACCCATTCACATCACCATTAATACCGTAATTACTGTGACTAATCTGGGAGCTAATCATTGGGCTCATCGTCAGAGACAAAGTCTGATTAGTATGCTGCTGAAGATCGTCGCTAAACTGCTGCTGCTGTCTCAGCCATGCCTTGAGCCCGGCCAGCGAAGTTGACGGTGGCGGCGAAGAACCACCGCCGCCGCTGGCATCGAAATGGTAATTAGCGGTGGCCGGGTAGATGATTTGGCTATTGCCACCAGCGTGGATGAGGGAGTGTGACGGTGGAATGTTGTTGACGGTGGTGGTATTCCCTGTAGCGGTGGTGCTAAAGAAATCTTCAAGCTTAGGACTCTCGCCGTCTGCTTCCTGATCAGGATTTCTGGCCATCCCTTCTCCTCCTCCTGATACAGCAGAGAAGACTATTTTTTAACTAAATTACACCTTTTTTAGTGACCAAAACATGTGTGACAAAAAATGCTTTGGTAACCAATTTTTTGGTTGCAAAAAAAAACTATTTTTCTTTTTCTTCCTGGCATAAGTAGTAAGCGAATATGATTGAAAGGAAATTTGAGATTTGGATACCGGAAAAGGGAGGAAGATCGGCGGCGGCGGCGGAGTGGAGAGACGGCAGCATGTGATGGTGGTGCATCATGGTCATGTGATCCGCAGACGAAGAAGAAGAAGATGGCGATGAAGAAGAGAAAGCGGCAGCAAGTGGGAGTTCCAGATGATGGTGATGACTATGGTTGTGATCATTATCATTACCATAGTCGCCGCCATCATGATGATAGTCTTGGATTTGGAGGTGTGGGTTGAGGGAGAAACCCAGCCACTTGCTCATCCTAGCTATATAGTCTGCCTTGCTTTGCTTGCTCCACCCAATCTGTAATAATAAAAACCCTTACCAGCTTTGTCTCTTGTTGTTGTATATGTGAAACACAGAAACCCAAAACCTCTGCCTTCTCTGAGTGTAAGGATTCTTGTTGTTGTTGTTGTAGGAGTTCAGAAGTGTGGGTTTGTTCTTTGTTGGGACTTGGGGAGTTGAGGAATCCTCCTCTGCTGGTTGTTTTGGGGTTTTGAGTCCAAACTCTTTCTCTCTCCACATCCAATACTAATAACTTTCCTTCCTAATCTTGTTCCTCTTTTTTCCCCTCTCGACTCTTCTCTTTTAACAAATTCCAACTTTTTTCTTCACGGTATATATATGATGGTAGCAATGTGGGATATAAGGTGGTGGCCAAGTGCTTAGCTAACAAGTTTAAGAACTTGATGCCACAACTTATCCATCCCAACCAATTGAGTTTTGTTCCAAAAAGACATATTACTGATAACATCATTATTTTACAGGAAATCGTTCACGCCATGGCAAGGAAAACAGGGAAGAAAGGACAAATGCTCCTGAAAATCGATCTTGCCAAGGCGTATGACAACATAAACAGGAAGTTCTTGGAAGAGACTTTGGTGGCAGCAGGTATACCTGCTGATTGCATAAAGCTCATTATGGCTTGTGTTACGTCTACCAGCTTTCAAGTGCTCTGGAATGGTGGTGAAACGGAAAGCTTCAAACCATCACGAGGTTTAAGACAGGGATGTCCTCTCTCCCCTTACCTTTTCACTTTATGTATGGAAACACTTAGTCATTGCATCCTATAGGAAGTAAAAAGCAAGAACTGGTTTCTCGGGAGACTTTCTGCTAGTGGCCCTGATCTCTGTCACCTTTTCTTCACGGACTATCTTGTTTTGTTTGCTGAAGCCAATGTTAAGCATGCTGATGTTGTCGTGTCCTGTCTTGAAAGGTTTTGTGATGCTTTTGGGGAACTAATTAGCAAAGAAAAATCTAGAGTCTTTGTCTCTGGAAATGTTAGAAAAACAACATAAATGAAATCTATGATGGGCTAGGAATTCAGGCCACCAATGATCTTGGAAGATATCTTGGGGTGCCCGTTTTGCGGGGAGGGTTACGCTTGCTATCTCGGTGCTCAACGTTATCCCTAACTATGAAATGCAAACCACCAACCTTCTTACCTTTGTGTGTGATGCAATTGACAGGAGAATTAGGGGCTTCATTTGGGGGTCGTGTGAGGGGAAGAGAAAACCTCACCTGATCTCTTGGGACATTATATGTAAACCAAAGAAACAAGGGGGGCTGGGTCTCCGTTCTGCTCGAAGCTTGAACATGGCTTACATGATCAAGCTTGTGTGGCAGCTCCTCAACAATCCAACTGATTTGTGGGTGCAGGTTGTGCTGGGGAAACATTCCAAGAACAGGGGATGAGCTATCACCTCAATGAAGAAGACGAACCACTCGAGCCTTTGGAAAGCAATTGTCAAAGCTCTTCCACTCATGAAATGGGGTACCTGTTACAACATTAGGAATGGAGCTACAACCAGCTTCTGGCAGCACCCTTGGCTGCAGCTAGGTGTCACCCTCGACAGCTACTTGCAATCCATCATTTCACCTATGGAGATGGAGTCAGCGATTGCAGACTGGACGAATGAGGAAGGTGAGTGGGATTGGAACAGGTTGAGAGGCCTCGCCCCTAATGATGTTCTTGATCTCATTGCAGGGGTGGAGCCACCTAACCCAACGCTTGGTGAAGACAAAACCATTTGGGGCTTGGAGCAAGACGAACGTTTCAGACTGAGATCAACATACTCCCTGGCGGCCGATATTGAGACATTGGAAGCTGAACAGAGTTGGAAAGCCCTCTGGAAATGGAAGGGCCCGAGCAGGATAAAACATTTTCTTTCAGACCCTTCTCAACTTTCAGTTGCTGTTATGCAGGAGTTCGAGATATATGCTAGTAGTACTATAGAATTACAGAAAATGGCATCAGTTGTAATGAGCTGAAAGGGTTTTGGTTTCTTTTGGTTGGCATAGAGATTAGTATAGGTTACTGTGTAAAGAATGTTGATCTTTTGAGAGGGTGATGCGAGTTGCATCTCCCTGGGCTTTCAATGCAATTTTGATTAACCATCAAAAAAAAAAAAAAAAACATTTTCTTTGGCTCGTGTGCCACGACCGCTTGATGACCAACAAGGAGCCCGCGAGAAGGAAGATAGCAACCAGTAGCGACTGCAGGCATTGCAAGGAGGTGGAGGAAAAAAATTGAACATATTTTAAGAAGCTGCTGCAATGCGAAGGCCATTTGGAGGAAGCTTAGAGAGAAAATGGTGGATAACAACCTCTCCTCCCCTTTCAAAAACTGGCTGCTTGATAATCTCAAGGATGAGGAAAACGGAATTGATTTTGGAATTGTGTGTTGGCACGTATGGAAGTAGAGGAATGAAGAAATTATGGAGGGACGATGCTTCTCGGAGCAGAACCTCATTTGCCGTATACAAGCTTGGTTTAATATTGTGAGACAAACCCAGGATTGGACCCAAAAGACTTGTATGGTGGCTGAGAAAACTACCTTTACAAAGCATATTGGTTGGAAACCACCTGAGGAGGGGTGGATGCATATCCAGACAGATGGATCAGTCCACACCCATTCTGGGAAAGCTGCTGCAGGCGGTCTGATTCGGGACAGCCAAGGACGATGCAGCAGGGCCTTCACTTGCAACCTTGGCGTCTGCTCAATCACTTGTGCGGAATTGAAGGGAGCTATTGAGGGACTTAAGATGGGATGGAAGGAAGGCCATAGGAAGGTGGATCTTAACCTTGATTCCAGCACTGTAGTGGCAATCATCAAAAACTGCAGCGACGACGACCATAGACATGGCCTGCTTTCTAGTTCTGTGAAACATCTTTTGAACCTCAATTGGGAGGTGCTGGTCAATCATGTGTATAGAGAGGCTAACTTTGTCGCTGATTACCTTGCAAATATGGGTCATTGTTCGAATTTTGGCACACATTCTTCTGATGTGTGCGATCACACCCTCAAACAGTGAATGTACTACGATATCATGGGAATTTTCCATGAACATTCTATTTCATTTATGACATAGGCACTACTGCGTCACTCTTCCTACCCAAAAAAAAAGTAATGTGAGTATTAAAGTAGGGTGGTTTAGTAAAAGATATGGTAAAAGTTTGAAGATGGCCAAACCGCTTGAGTAGTTGCCTTCCTTGATGGTTAGAAGTATGTGACGATTTGTTGTTCAAAAGTACGAATTTCATTGTTGTGCTATGGAGAGTATCATCACTCCAAAAATAATAATGGAATTGTGGGTGTTGAATTGTCTATGAACCGATAATCTCTACAAGCAAATTTATATGTCAACTGACAAATTGGGTATAGATTACGGTGCATAATCCATTGTTATTCATAAAACCAGTTGTGTATGGAGTAGGATCAGGGGCGTAACCAGACATCGAGTCCACTAGGGTCCTTAAACATTTACTAACATAAATGCTTGTGTACCTAATGAATTTTGAGTTAACCGGGGTCCTTGGTGAGCTAACATCGTTGAGAGTATGTGGTACTAAACTAGAATTATCGTACTAAAACCTATGTATTTAAAGGCTTTTGTTGCCCAATTATTTGCCAAGTGGGATCATAGGACCCCTCTCCTCCTTACCTCCCTGACCCTCCGCGACTGAGTAGGATACATAATTCATGGTTATTCACAACTAAATTAAGATACTGGTGATAAGAGTCCAAATAAACGTAATCGCAAAACCAATTGCATATTATATTTTTATTACCACCTCAATGTTTTTGTAACTGCATATGTAATTAAATATTATATTTTAATTATGCAAATTTAAAGGGAGAAGAAAATAAAATAAATTAAAGAATTCCTATTTTGTAGGTTATTTTGACTTTCATATGCAATTGCATTTGTTGCAAGTTTGTAAATATGCAATAGATAGCCACATTGATGCAATTGATTTTGTTATTGCAAAACCATGACATGTCATCTTGCAACTGGAAATGCAAGACCAATGTGGATGCTCTAATTGGGTCAGGTCTAAATGGTGAGACTAAAAGAATTTTATTTTCCCTGTTTATTTAATCTGCTTATAATTCTTTGTTCTAACTTGAATTTTAAATATTTTTGCACATAACAAACGAGTTCGTTGTGATCTACAAAATGATATGAATTCTGATATATTTTGAGAAAAAA